GGTGGCCCACGGGGTGGGCAGGTCTGAGCGGAGATCCCACTCAACCATGTGTTTTTAACTTGAAATCAAACCACTTGCCTAAAACCCAGAAAGGRGGGAAATAGAGAGGTGTTCAGCATTGCAACAGGTTTTGTAACATACTCCACCTAAGTTCTTTTTTTTTTTTGGTACCAGGGATTGAACTCAGGGGCACTTGACCCCTGAGCCCCATCCCCAGCCCTATTTTTTATTTTATTGAGAGACAGGGTCTCACTGAGTTGYTTAGGGCCTCGCCATTGCTGAGGCTGGCTTTGAACTCSYGATCCTCCTGCCTCAGCCTCCTGAGCTGCTGGGAGGACAGGCATGCGCCACCGCACCAGACTCGTCCACCTCATTTCTAAGGTAYACTTGGAGGTTTGAGGAGGCTGAAYTGTGAGCTGCCAGAGATGTSCAGGTACTGACCCCTGGAACCCTGGAAGCTGTTACATGACAGGGCACACCTGATGAAGGTGTGGATCTTTCCTTGGGAAGCACTTCCTGGAGTTCCCAGGTGGCCCTAATGCTCCTTATTAAGAGGATATAGCAGGAGGAATCCCAGAGGGCTGAAGATGTTACGCTGCTGGCTCTGGAGACAGACAGAGGAATCTTCTAGAACCTGGAGATGATGGATGCCCCCAGAAGCCTCTACAGTGAACCTGTTTTCGAGTCCTGACCTCCAAAACCATGAGATGACAAACAGATGTGACTTTAAGCCACTGGGTTGGTGGCGATGGGTCACAGCAGCCTGAGGACAGCAATGCAGGCTTTCCTCTCTGTCCTCAGTGACTTGCCAGGCTCCCCTCCTCCATCCTGACCCTCCTGGGGGGGACCCCAGCCCCAGCCTCCTGCCCGGGCCTCCAGCTCCTCTGGGCAGCCATCTTGGGAAACTCCAGCTTTGACAAACCTTCAATGTCTTGTTCCAGTGGGACCCAGATCCAAATGTCCTCATGTGAAGCGCCTTGCCCTGCCTGGGCTGGTGCCCGGGGACACCTCCAAATCTTTTTGGGGTTCAGTGGTGGGTTATTTTTTCTTTTCTTGTATTTATTTCAGACCTCAATTTTTTTCCCCTTTCTCAATTACTGACCTACACTCCCACTCGGTGGTGGTTTTGAGTCAGAGTGTCCCTTACACTTTGGGTGACCTCGACAAGTCAACCTCTTCACCTCCGTTTCCTGTTCTGTGGAATACCTGGGGCGGGGTGGGGGGTGGCTGTCCATGTCCCATGCAGGTTAATGCTGGTGAGCTGCCTGGTACCCATGGAAACATGGTAGGGACAGGCACCACCTCAACACAGCACAATGTACAGGAACCAGTGGGCAGTGGGGAGCCCCATCTGGACACTGGGTGCCCAGACACAGGACCTAAGATCTGGCCCAGGTTGAAGAAGGACGGAAGATCTTTGAGGGACTCTAACAAGTACTCACGTATACTCAGAACAAGCACTGATCAGGAGATTTTAGATACCCAGATTTGGCTGGGGTATCTAATAAGTACCCAAATATACACACACATGAGTATATATGTATATAAAGTTTTTTTTTTCTTTTTCTTTCTTTTTTTTTTTTTTTTTTTTGGTACCCAGGAGTGCTGAATCACTGAGCAACATCCCCAGCACTTTTTTATATTTTATTTTCCTTTTTTTCTGGTCCTGAGGATTAAACCCAGGGCTCTGTACCTGCAAGGCAAGCACTCTACCAACTGAGCTAGATCCCCAGCCTTTATATTTTTATTTAGTTTTTTAATGTTGAATTTTTTTTTATTTGTTTATATGGTACTGAGGATCAAACCTAGTACTTCACACATGCCAGGCAAGCGCTCCACCACTGAGCTACAGCCCCAGCCCCTTATATTTTATTTTGATACAGGGTTTTGTAAAGTTGCTTAGGGCCTCGCGAGTCTGGCTTTCAACTCGGGATCCTCTTGCCTCAGCCTCCGAGTCGCTGGGATGACAGGCGTGTGCCACCATGCTCCGCCTATAAAGGTATCTTTATTCTCCTTTTCCTTCTTGATGTCATGGTGCCTTTTAGGTGAAGAATGAATGTTCATGGTGTTGGGAGAGAATAGCACAAGCCCACCAGCCCCCAGCACTACTCTGTCCATGAGCGTGACTTTGGGGCATAAAGTACTTACCGAGAGATGTGGGATTTCTGAGTAGCAAATGCAAGTCAGGGTTTATTTCCCCTAGTTATCAAAGTCCCATCTTTGGGGATAGATGACCCAGTTTGAAATTCCTGGTTTTGAGGAGGAGATAATCGTAARCATCTTGTGCGGGAGGAGGGAGGACCCTGGGTGACTTTGGTTGTCCTCACAATCTCCTGGGGGGTTTCAACTGGGCATTCTGTCCACAGAACTCTTCTACCCTTTCATTGAATGGCCTCARATCTCTTTGTTCCACTTGCCTATAGGAATAATTCAATAATTGAATTTATTTGATTAAGAATTTCTTTAATTGTTTAAACCATGCTTTAAAAAAATTCATGTTGCTTTTTCATATAAAAATGTGATTTTGGGATTAGGTTATTTCGGGGTATAATTTATGCAATGGAAAGTTCACCCTACTTGGCATGCTATTGTGTGCATTTTAACAAACCCACAAAATTAAACTATAGAACAATTCTGTCACCTTCTCCTCCTAAATTCTCCCCAGGTCTTTGGTTGTGAACTGTTCTCACCCCCGTTCTCTTGCTACAACTGATCTATTTTTTTGTCTCTACAGCCTTTGCCTGCTCCAGATGTCATATAAATCATTATTTTGTGGGGTTCTTGAATCTGGCTTTCAGATTCCAGAAGTTGAGAGACAAACACATTGTTGTACATTATCTGTTGTATGTCATTTCTCATTGCTAAGAAGTATTCCATACTCCAGTTTGTTCATCYGTTCATCTGTTGGGAGAAAATTTGGGTTATTTCTAGTGTTGGGTAATTATGAATAAAGCTATAACCATTCAAATACACTTTTTAGTGTGAATGCAAGCCTTTGTTTCAGGTAGATATCTAGCAGTAGGACTGCTGAGGCATACRGTTAGTGTTTAAAAAACTACTACAGTGGTTTTCAAAGCTGCTGTTAAAGTTGGTGTTCCTACCAACAGTATATAAGAGCTCTACCTCTTCATCAGTGCTTGATGATGCCAAGTGTTTGGATTTCAAACATTCTAGTAGATTTCTTGGAAGCTTCCCTCCTGATAATACCAAACATCTCTTGGTTTCCAACTATATAGATTCTCTTGCTACATTTACTGCTACATAGAATTTACATAGAATATAAGCAGTATGCAGATTTACCTTCCATATTTTTGCTGCTAGTTTAACAATAAAATTTATTTTTGTAGGTTAACTGTGTATCCTAAACTGTTCTAACTTTACTTACTAGTTTTAGTAGTTTTTTTTTTTTGTTGTATCTCATGGTTTCTGTGTTAACCATCACATCTGTATGGAGAGAATGGCTGTAGCTTCTTCCACGTTTTTAACTTCTTTTTCTTTCTTTCTTTTTTTTTTTATTAATGGTGATGAATTATAGTCACAGGTTGAAAGTCAGTGGTTAAGTCTGGACATCTCGGCCTTATTCCTGATATTAGGGGGAAGTGATCAAARTTTTAACATGAAGTCTGATATTAGATGTACTTATTTCTTTAGAATCTTGAGGAAGTCCCTTTTAACTTGTTTTTGAACACTTATAATGATGGGTGTTGAATAGTAAATGCTCTTTCTGCATCTATTGGGATGATCATAAACGTTTCTTTTTAGTCTGTTGGTTTGTTGAATTACATTAATTTGTTTATGAACATTAAATCCATTCTTTGGATTTGGAATAAACCCAGATGGATAATGATGAGTTCCCTTCCTATTTTGTTGGATTGTTTGCTCACATTTTAATTTCGTTTTCTGTGTTGGTAGGGTAAATTAGTCTGTAAATTAATTTTTGTAATATTTATTTAATGTTTGCTGTTAGGGTTATGCTGGCCTGAAGATGAGAAGAAAAGTGTCTTCTCCATTTTCTGAACAAAACTTTGTGCAGAATTGGTGTCATTTCTTCCTTAAGGGTTTCATCATTTTGACCATAGAAATCATCTGGGCCTGGAATTACCATTGCAGCAAGTTTGCTGAACAAAATTCATYTTAAAAAAGTGAAAAGATAAAGGGCTATTCAGATTTACATTTCCACCCCATTTTAGTTCTAAGTTATCCTTTTAAGTAGAACCAGCTCATTTCCTCCATGTTGTCAAATCGGTTAGCATAAAATTGCCCTGTGTAGAGTGACAGGAGGGAGACTTGGGAGAGAAAACTGAAAGGACTGGGGCTTTCCTTGCTCCCTTAAGGTTTTTAGACTGAATCAAGGTCGTGTCCCTGAATGTCACCTTGGAAAGTCTGGTGCTTATAAAATTGGGCTACTCAACACTCCCTAAGGGCAAGAGACCCTGTAATAACAACCCAGAGAAATACCATGGCATRAGTATTTTTTCTCTAGGGAAATTCCCTGGAAAATTAAGTAACTTGAAAGTTGCATTAAGACTCCCCTCCCTTCCTCCCATTTAAAGGACTTCATGGTCTTTGCCACCCTCTRCCCTCTTCTGTGCCTTTAAAAATAAAAAAAAAAAAAAGGATTGGATCCAATCCAGGTTCTTCACTTTGCAGCTGCGTAGCCTCTGATCACACAAAGCAGGTGGGAAAATACAGTAATTTCACAGGAGCGGGGAGCTGAAGCTCTGTGAGTCTCTGAAATCCAGTGCGAACCTCTCTGCGCACTTTGCAAGCCTCCAGCAGCACCGTAGCCTCGCGAGACTTCCCGGAGCCCGTGAGGAGTCCGGCTCGGCGTCTCGCCGCGTGGTGCGTAGGCGGGAGGGGCGCGGAGAGCCGGGATACGCCCCGCCCACGTCCGTCCGCGGCTTCCTATTCGCTGCCGGCCCTCGTGCGTCGTGACATCACAGCGTACACCTTCCCAGRAGTGCGTGTGGCGGGGAGGCGCGGGCCGGTAAGTGCACGGGCGCAGGTTCGGTGAAGTGTTGTGCCGCGGCCGCGTCCTGAGGGAGGCGGGAGCGCGGGGCTGCAAGGCCGCAGCGTGGAGGTCGCGTCCCGGCCGCGTCCCCGAGGTGTTTCTCGCCCCGTCCCGCCCCGGGTGGTGGGGTCCTAGGACCCGGGGTCACGGCCAGGGTCTCCGGGGCTTTTCTGAGGCGGAAGTACAGGACGCCGCACGTGGCCCGGCGAGGGGAGCTCGCCCCCTTGGGAAACGCCGCTCCTCGGCCCCTGCTTTCCTAGGAACTGCGCGGTCCCCTTGCAGTCACCGAGGTCGGGGTCACGTGAGGGCCCGGCAGCTGTGGCCTGGCTCCGGGGCTGGGGGGAGGAGGACAGGGGCGTCGTGGAAGCCGAGCAGAGGGCACGCCGGGAGGAGAGGGGTGAGAAAAGCAGCCAATTTTCACTTCCGAGGAAGCACCCCCGAGTCATAAAGTTTTAGGTGCCACCCGGGGTGAATTTTCACTTCCGAGGAAGCACCCCCGAGTCATAAAGTTTTAGGTGCCACCCGGGGTGACCGTGACCCGTTGGGGGAGGCCTGCCGTTCTTGCAAGTCTTCCAGTTAAGTTTTCTGCAAGTCTCTCCCTCGCTCCTGAACCCCGAGCCCGCTTCTCGGGAGAGAGGACATCAGTGAGCCTCGTGGGGCTTCGGGCTGCAGAACTGGACAGCCAGCAGCTTAGAGGTGGCGTCCCTCCGGGGGTCGCACGGCCCTCCTTTCATTTGGGTAGGAGGGGAGTTGCTCTTTGTCCCGTGTTTGAAGTTCCTTGTTGTGCATGTGCTTGCAGGTGGGTGCTTGGGGACCCTCTCTCCATGCTCAGGCACCTGTGTCCACGGCACCGGCCCGTCCTGAGCTGCAGCTGGAGTAGGCTGTGCCTTCTGAAGCGGCGGCTCTTCACCATGAAGTTAGAGTCTCCAGAGTTCCAGTCCCTTTTCACAGAAGGATTGAAGAGCCTGACAGGTGAGAGGTCCCTTTCTTGCTTTGGAAGCCTGTGTCAAGGGAGAGGCACGGGGTTGGCCAGCTTTTTGTAGCCAACGGGGGTACTTTTGTCATTGTTGAGTTAATGAGAAAAGAGACAGTGGGGGGAAGACTTCCTTATGGGTAATGGAAAACTACAGCCGGTTCATTAGAAGAGAGGAGAGGAGACGTTGACCCCAWTAAAAGGCCTGACTTAGCTGAATGATTCCAAGTCCCATACATGATGGGATCAATCCTAAATGTGTAGGTACGTTTTCTTTTCACCTGGAGGAGGTCACATGCCTAGGAATGGTAAGTGCTTTTGCCTGTATTATTAACTGGAGGGCTGGATTTTAACCTGGGCCATCCGATGTCAGAGCCCCGTGTGTAAACACTGAAGCTCTGTTTAATTGCYTTCTGAGAGAACTGAAGGCAGAAGCAAATAGAAATTCCTTTCACTTGTGCACAGACAAAATCAATCTAGGAGGGATACTAGATTGATTAGTTACATGCCCAAATCCTCACTGGCCAGTCTTTCAAGTGCAGGACCTGGAAGCAACCAGTACCTCTATTTTATACTCTTTAGGTTCTACTATTTTATACTATTTAGATTGGCTTAGCTCAGTGTCTGATTATGGCAGCATCTCTTTGATGTTGCCATGTTTTATCAGTGTARGTCCTTCACATCACCTACTGATGGTGTCTAAGCAGCCTGATGGCTGCATTTCAAAGTCTGGGAGGTTTAGTGGTACTCTTGTGGGTGCGTTGAGTTGTATGTATGTAGGAATGAGCTAGGTGCTTTTCTGGCCCAGCTGCTGGTGAGATTTAAAACATGTGGATGATGGGGTTCCACCCCCAGCTTTCCCTCCAGCTCAACCCTTCCAGGGAGGAGCACCTGTGGGTTTTGTTTTTTTTTAAACTCCACACATTAATTCTGATGAACAGAAGGTAGAAGAACCATTACTTTAAAATTTTTATTCCTATTCCCAAGTTTGYGTACTTATTTTTGAGATTGGATGGTTTCTTTTTAGGCACATTTGAGAGGTAAATGGTCCAGAATTTTTTGTTTCTTTTATGTTCTTCAGGTAGTCTTTTTTTTTTTAAATATTTATTTTTTAGTTTTAGGTGGACACAATATCTTTTAAAAATTTTTATGTGGTGCTGAGGATCGAACCCAGTGCCTCACGCATGCCAGGTGAGCGCACTACCACTTGAGCCACATCCCCTGCCCCTCTTCAGGTAATMTTGAAGTAAGGGCTTAAATTTAAGTTTGGTTATGCCCATGGCTTCAGTGTGATTTAATTAGGTTSAATGAAAAATGAGAGAGACTCTTGGTCCAGTGGAAGTGTATGAAACTATACTTTCTGTAAGCTTTCCTAATTAACTGTATTGAAAGGTAGAAAGAAAATAATTTTAATAATTATTTTCAGTACATCATATTTTATCCACTGTAGGTGAAATTCTATCATTTCAATATGAAATTTTATACAAATTAGTGAGATATTGTGTATTCTAAGACTTCCAAATTGTCCTATCTTTAACACACACAGCACCATCTCTAATCAGACTCATCACATTTCAGGTGCTCAACCACCACAAGTACCTAGCAGTTGCTRTTTGAACAGCACTGAACTAAAAGGTTCAATTTTGGGTTCACTGAAAATTGTCTTTCTTTTTATGCAATTCCAGCTACCAGTTTTTTCATTCTCAGTTGCAGAAATTCTCTGTGGCCCATCCCCACTCATAGTGCACTTTTTTTGGAGATAAGGTTCTAGATATTGCTATAATTTTTTGAACATCTTCTGAGAGTTACATTTGAGTTTCTAAATGCGAGTTTAACTTGTGAATTTTCTTCACGCTAAGACACGAAGTCCTAAGGGAGTTAGAACCTTAATAGTATAAARTAGAGGTACTGGTTGCTTCCAGGATCCTGCACTTGAAAGACGGGCCAGTGAGGATTTGGGCATGTTGTAGGCTGTGATAGAAGTGGCAGGAATGCAATCTTTCCATGCACTGTTACACAGATAGCAAATTGATCACTTTATCTCTTCCTTGCTCCTTTGTAGAGACTTGGGTGCCCTGGTAAAATGCAGTGTCCAAAGCCTGCTGAATGGTGCAGTTTAAATGGTCTTGTAACAGTTCTCAAATCCTGATAGTTATGTTGCCTTGTRTAAAATCAGTTTTTGCAAGAATTCTGGAGGATAGAATAGTGTGTTATGGTCATGTAATATAGGGTTTGCCGGGTCATTTCATACGTTTAAGTTTTCCTACTTAGTACAACCATGTAGTCTAGTGACGTTGAAGGTTATTTCCCCAGGCTAGAGCTGWGGCTGAGTTGTTAATTATAGGTGGGTTTTGCCCGAGCTTCAGGGCTAGTGTGCTCCCTGGGACTGCCTCAGTCACTTGCCTGAGGTTCCTAGTCCTTGCTGGGTGATGTCAGAAAGCCTGTATTTGGGACAGTAGGAGCAGTGAATGCTCTTCAGGTGTGGAGGCTGTTGGAACAGACGGTGTTTCTGGTAGTGATGGTCCTGCCATGCAGGGCTCTTTCCAATTGTCCCTCTGGCTTATCATCCCCCACCCCACACCGGCACTGAGAATCCAAAATCAAAGGAAGTAGTTCCTGAAAATGTGATTGGAAATTAAAAATAGGCAATAATTACAAGAGTTCTGACCCTGTATGGTCTTGAGTCAACGTTCGTTGTGAACAAGAATGATTAACAATCACTATCAAGGTGTGGTAGTTGGAGCAAATGAGCACAATGGAAGGTATACATTACAATTAAACACAGTTGTATCGGACGTCATCTTTGTTGAGAGTGTGTGAGCTTTCAGAGGAATGTTGCGTGTGTCCCTGAGTCTGTAGGATGGAGGGTGGAAGGAATCTAAGTCTGATAGCGCCTACTCCCTTAGGTTAATGTAGAGTCATTCCTTTGCTGTAATTTTTATGACTGCTGTTCCACAGACAAATGTGTTTTCTCAATTGTATTAAWTTTTTTTCCTTTTTTATTGGATCTTTATTAGTTATTCAGAAAATTGGGATTGAGTTTGACATAGTTACAAAGGCATAGAATAGAATTTGCTCTGATTCCGTTCCCAGTGTGGTTCCCTTCCCTCCCCTCTTCCCTCCCCATTCTCTCCTCCCTGCCCTGGTCTTCCCGTGTTTACTTTTTCTTTCTTCCTTTCAGGCAGTGTCTTGTGTGCACAGGGTGGTGAGGGTCACTGTGGGGTCTTCACGCACAGGGAGGCCAGATCCTTCCACTGTTCTCACTTATCCTGGCCCTCTCCTCCCCCCTCGAGCCCCTTCCTCCAGTACACTCATCTTTTTTGTTTTGATGGAATCCCTCCTTTTCCATTTCTTTCTCTATTCTCCCCCTTCCACATATCAGAGAAAAGTGGTATTTTTAAAATCCAGAATTGTGATGTTTTTGGAAATGGTTTAATAACAAGGATAATCAAAATGATGAATGGATTTCTTTGGGTTCTGTATCTGTCTTTCYGAAATGCAATTTATTGAGTGACCTTGAATTTAAGTTCATTTTAGTGAAGCCAGCTGGAGAACCTTAAAAATATCGGCYGTCTGTATAAATTTAATTCTAACCATTTTATTAATTAAACTAGACTCTAATGAATGGAATATTTGTTTTGTGTTCTCCTATAGATTGTTTGGTAGTGTTTTGCTTTGAAACATAAAAACTTAAGAGAAAAGTAGACTTTCCAACAAGACACTCTTTCTAGTCGTTACGCTGTTGCAGTTCAGTTTATCGCGAGCCAGGGGRGGAACGCTAGGTTTGCCATCCTGAGAAACGGGAGAGGAGACCATTTTGTGTAAGCTGTGTGTATGTACAAATGTGGGCTGTGTTGGCGGCTTTGACGAAATTCACTGAATGCAGTCAATAGAAGATGGGGCTGAAAGGCTTGGGAAGAGCGGGTGGAAGAGGGTGTGGGGTGACAGAAGGTGGGGTGGGGGCTGTATGTTGAGTTGTGGTTGGGCTGCTGGATCTCTGATGAGGGTTGGATGTGGTTGGATACTGCAGTGACCCCTAGCCAGCACCCCGGGGACACACCAGGTGTCCTGGAGCACTTTGGAAAGAGGGTCTTGGGAGTTCTTGAGGATGTGGGTTGCACAGGTTCTGAGGATGGTTCAGGGAGTGGGGCTTTGCCTTGCACTCCATGCTCTCCAGGCGCAGAAGCGACTTTTGGATGACTTGGTTCTTGCCTAGAAGGTGAGAACATTGAGACTGTCTTGTCCGTCAGTCAGGAGCAGTTCTCAGTCCTTCTAGGGTGTGTCTTGGACAGGGTTCTCATTTTGTCTGTGTTCAGACATTTTAGAGAGTTGTCTTAACTGTTCTGGGTCCACTGTGGGCAGAAATTGCTTTTGTGTTGTGCAGTTTCGGAACTCTTAGGCTGGCTCGGAGCTGCATCACCCGCAGTGTTGGGCCATAGTGGATGTCTTTGTTGGAGGGTTTCATGGGTTTAGTTATAGCTGCTCTGCCTCGTCCTGTGTAGCTGAGTACAGGAATTCCAGTGTTCGTGTGGTTCTGCCTGGAACATAGAATGGGTTTCAAACAGTAGGTGCAGATTGTTTCTTGAAGRCTGTGGCTGTAATGTGTACGTGGAGTGGCGGGCTGGTATTTGGTAGTGTCATGCACGAACATACCGCCTCTCCACGTATTCAGAAAGAGAATTGCCAGAACACTCAAGAGTTTCTGAAGTGTGCACGTAAATTCCAAGAAAGAAAGCTTCCTTCTGGGTAATAATCTGGATTGGTGTCGAGGCCTTGGCATTGTGGAATTGGCGTTATTTTCTGTGTTGGCAGAGAAGTCGGCCTGGTCTCTGCCCCCCGCCAGGTCTCAGAGGCATGCTGCTGCAGGCAGGCCATCGCCCCTTCTGTGGGCCTTATTCTCGTTTTCATGTGAAAGGGCTCTTTTTTGTGATTCCCTGCTGTCTGTAGTAGGTGGAGARCCTTGTTCCTCTGGTTGTCAGAAAAAGCATATAGAAATAAACATCTTCTGCCGTTCCAGAGTTGTTTGTCAAAGAGAATCACGAGCTGAGAATAGCAGGAGGAGCAGTAAGGGATCTGCTGAATGGGGTCAAGCCTCAGGATGTGGATTTTGCCACCACRGCCACCCCGTCGCAGATGAAGGAGATGTTCCAGGCAGCCGGCATCCGGATGATAAACAACAAGGGGGAGAAGCACGGGACCATCACCGCCCGGGTGAGTGCAGGGCTGGCGACACATCGCATGCGGCTTTTGTCATTTTAAAAAGTATAATGTTGAAAAAGCAAGTATCAAAAAACCTAATAGTAATATCTACCGAGGGTTTTGTCCTGCATGGTTAATAGCCATGATGTTTAACTGAGTCTGATAACTGAGCTCTTACCTCCAGCCCCGGCCCCCTCTCTCTTTTTTTAAATGTAATTTAAAGGAATGCAGTCTAACTGTAAAAAGTACTGGTAGTTTATTTAAAAAAGAAAAACAAGTCCATATGCTGCAGGTTTTGYGTCTTAATTTTGCGTTTGAAGATGYTGCCCCGACCTCCTCTGTGTGTGGCCCTTGTCAACAGCAGGCGTGTGGCTCTCCTCCCACCTTCCCAGTGTGTCCCTGTCAGGGCTGGTCAGCCCCGTGGGAGGGGTGCACTGCSGTCCTGCCGCTGTCCTCTGCATAGCTCTCCCTGGGCTACGTGCTCGGTGCCCCTCTGCAGAGCTGTAAAGTTCTTCCCACCAGTGAAGCACGCCATGTTTCAGGACTTTTTTGGGGGGGGTGGGGGGGAGCCTCTTCCTTGTTATACCTCCCTTTTTCTGGGTCCCGTGTGGGGATCTCTCGGTTTTTCCCCTCTTTTGAGTAGGTGAGGCCTGAGCAAGCCCCACATGAATGAAAATGTTTTTATTTAACCCTGAACTGGCTTGGCCCCACTGTTACTCCATCTGGGAATAATTTTCTGTCAGAAAATTGGAGACTTTGTTTTCCAGTTTCTGCTATTGCCACTGAGGAGTGGATCCCATTTAGGTTTCTCCTTTGCTGGAAATTTGGTGGTTTTATTTTTTCCTTTTTGAAGCCTTTTGGTCCTCCCACTCTGGTGTTTTTAATTCCAAGGAGACATCTCTGGGTTTGGGTTTTGTCCTTGTTGTGCAGGGGACCACTGGCCTGCCTTATTCCCTTGTTGAGGGTCTTCTCCTCGGGAAGTGTCTTCCTGTGGACCTGGGGGACGTGCCCGTCTTCTGAGAAGGTCCTGTCTTCTCTTTCTCTGTCCTTACGTCTTGTATTTTTCACTTTTGTGGGAACGTTTTCACTTGATCTCTCRACCTTTGAATCACATTTGCAACTTTAGTGGCCTTTTGTTTTTAAGGGTCTTTCCTGGTGGACAGTCATGCAGTGCTTAATAGGAATATGTGCTGAGAAATCTGATGCTGGGCAGTTCWGTTAATTCTGTGACCCTTGTAATAGCACTTAGGTGAAAACACAAGTACTGCACAGCTGTGTAGAAATACCTTGTTCACGTTCTATTCTACAAGTTTTTCTATTAGAAATTTTTTGTTAAACTTCCTTAACTGTTTTTGTTACATACACATTAGCTGAGGCTTCTGCAGGGTCRGGATCATCAGTGTCACTGTCTTGGTCCTCTGGGGCAGTAACACATAGAGTTGTCACCAGGCTTTCTGAAGTATCTACTGGTAGCTGTTTTATAGCTAACTTTTTTTCTTTTTTTTGGTACCAGGAATTGAACCCAGGGGTGCTTAACCACCAAGCCACATCCCCAGCTCTTTTTAAATATTTGATTTTGAGTCAGGGGCTTGCTAAGTTACAAAGGGCCTCACTAAGTTGTGAGGCTGGCTTTGAACTTGCCATCCTCCTGCCTCAGCCTCCCAAGCCCCTGGTTTTTACCATTCTGAAAACCAAGTGGAGCAAGGGGAGGGGCCRTGTATCTTTTCACTTATTCTTGTTTTTGAGGTGTAGGTGCACTAGTGGGCTTGAAAAAGACATGAGATCAAATGTCTAGGATCACAGTTCCATGAGTTGATGAAAAGAAAAATTTCCCCCGGTCTATCCAGTGGTACTGAATATTGATTTTTTAAAACAATGTATTGCAGCTTCATGAAGAAAATTTCGAAATCACTACACTACGTATCGATGTYGTCACTGATGGAAGACACGCCGAGGTGGAGTTCACGACCGACTGGCAGAAAGATGCTGAGCGCAGAGATCTCACTATAAATTCTATGTTTCTAGGTAATGTGTGGAGACGAGATGTTTTAGTCCAGTCTGTGGGAGTGCCTCTTAAAGCCTGTAATGTGCTTCACTTCAGGCGTGTGTCCGGTGTGGCTGAGGGTGTCGTTGGCCGCAGTCACAGTCCCTGGCTTAGGCTCTGTCTGCGTGGGTCACGGGCTGGGGACTGGAGATGCCCACGCTGTTGCTTCTCGTGAGCGTTGGGCGATCTGTTGGCTGTGAATGGTTGGAATGGTGCCTGCCCCTCCTGGCCTTTGGCTTCCTAGTTGCATCTGCACAGTGGGAGCAGACGTGTCCCACCATGGGCTGCTCCTGCCTCTACATTGTCCTGTGCTCATGCCTCCTCTCTGTCCCTGTTCCCATGCGGTGGCACACGAYTGGGATGACTTCAGCTCTGTTTTATCGTCGTGCCTCCACAGAGCCTTAGATGGCTTCTTAGCTTTGCGTCTTAGGAATCGCCAGTCATCAGGGGTAGTGTGCGGGGTGAGACCTGTGTGTGGTCTTCGTGTCATAGAAGTGATGTGAGTTAGGTTAGTGTTTGAACCGTTATCGATACGTCATTTTTTGAATTCTAATTACAATTTGTGTCACGGTTAGGAAGGCCAGTTGTAGGCCTGAGTGTGGGATCCCTTGCTGACCACCTGATGACAGATGCCATTTCTAGGCCCCTTGGGATCTGGGCACACCAGTGGGCACCCTCATTTAGTGGGTTTCCCATTTGACAGGTAAAGAAAGTGCCAGAAGTTCAATACAAAGTTCAGGTCCAAGAGCCAAGATGGGGCTCCCATTTGCACAGCCTGGATTTATGACCCAGGTRCCCAGCGGGTACACATTTTCTTTTCTTACAGTGAAAGGGAAAGTGCATATTCTTTTTCATGATATTTTACAAAACAAAAGCATTGCTGAACCCTTACAGTGTGCCAGGCTCTCCTGAGAGAGCACGTTACCTGCCTGCAGTGACCCTGGGAGCTCTGTGAGGTGGATCTCGGTGTTGAACCCAGGGTGCTTGGCCAAGGTGCACAGCTTCTAAGTGACGGGATCTGGATCCTGACTGAATCCGAGGGGCTGTGGAGGGGATCCTGTTGACCAGGGCGTCTTTATGTATAGGAGACGGAGAACAAACAGAACGGCCACCAGTGACGATATTCACTAATCCTCACCGTTTAGTCCTGCTTTTGTCCAGGTTTTTCCGAGCCTCGTCGTACCARTGTCTGGTTCTGGTGTTTCTGAGTGGTTTCTTGGCTTCCTCCACTGTGACTTTTGCTTTTGTCATATTTCCATGGTTTTCCTCCAGAATTTGGTCTTTACTGAAAACAAACCCTTAGTATCTCCAGGGTCAGGGTCACTAGGGAGAGTCAGGCGCCTTTTAGTAGAAGAAACAATATGAAGACCTACCATGTCGTTTGCTKTTCTGTGGTCAGGGGTACATGTGTTTTTTTTTTTTTTAAACCTTTTGATTTGTTTTTCATGTCTTTAATCTGGAGCTTTTAAAATCTGCACTGATCATTAGAGTGGTGCCTCTCAGCAGCACCCTGTGCAGATCCCAAACCTCGGGGAGGGTTAGAGTGAGGTCTGAGCTGGCCGGTYGGCTGGGGAGGTCCAGCAGAGCTTGGTGGACGGGCACTTCCTGATGCGCCCACCTGGGTTGGTGGGTTGTTCCAAGTGTTTTGTCTTATTCTTAGTCCTGCGGTGACCAGCTGTCTCCGTTGGCCTTCTGTGGTGCTCTCACCTGGGCCCATTTTTCCCTTCAGTGAATATAGACAGTGGCATTTAATGGTGGGGTTTTGTTCACATCCATTTTAGGAACAAATAAGAGGCTTACCTCAGAGTTCACAGGAGGAGGCTGCCTGAGGGCGCCCCTGAGGTGGACAGGCAGGGCACCGCTGGGGGTTGGCCTAGCTAGAAAGTGGACGATTGTATTTCTCAGGACTAGGCTGAAAATCTGCATTTTTTAAGATGCTTCTGTATTTCCTGTATGTATTTCAGCCTGTTTTCTGTGTCTACGGTCCGTGTGTGTATCTTYTGCACACAGTAGACGTCAGCCACTCATCTTGTTGATACACACCCACCATTTATTTTCCTGAAGTGTCCCTTTCTCATGGTGTGGCCTTGCCAGCAGGCTCCCCCACCCCCCAGTTCTGTTTATTATGTCTTATTTTGAGTGTGGCTTTGTGTTTTGCTTTTGTGATAAAGTTTGAAAGGTCTTTCTTATGGATTTGTTTTAGGATTAGGATTATAAAAATATTTTTCTATGGCTTTTTTACTGATTTCTGCGGGGAGTGTGTGCGTGTGCACGTGCTTATCTGCCTATGTTAACTTGACTGTTAGCTTGTCTGGAGTCTTCTCTTCCTACCCCACCGTATACAGATCCGGCATTTTCCCCCTGGGAAGCATTATGTGGTTGTGATGTATACAGGAATCCTATTAGTGTCTGCATTTTAATTTTATGAGTTTGAAATATGCTAAGTTTTTACTATTTGTGATAGTTTTGAGCTGATTTTTTTTGTGTGTTTTAAAATTTTTGCTGCTGATGATTTTTTTATTCCCCTCTGAACAGGTTTTGATGGTACCTTATTTGACTACTTTAATGGCTATGCAGATTTAAAAAATAAGAAAGTTAAATTTGTTGGGCAGGCTAAGCAGAGAATACAAGAAGATTATCTTCGAATTTTAAGATATTTCAGGTAAGACTTTTAAATGTAATATTAAAACTTTTGTGGTTTTTCATCTCACCAGAGCGGGACTCTGGTCTGCAGAACCGGTGGGTGTGGGTGTGGGAAGCGCTGACCCCCATGTCCASGGGCAGCGGTGTCTCGCCTGCCCTGGGTGGAGAGAGGTTTTGAGATGCTCTGTGTTCCTTCTCTTTCCTGGGCTCTGTGCTGTGATGTTTTGCATGTGAAAGCTTCGTGTCCTTTTTTTAACGTCCATTTTTCCTGGGTTGAAGGTTTTCTTTCACTCATCCTGGGGTTCGAGCGCTTGTCCCAGGCCAGGYGCTGAGCTGGGCCCTAAGGCGTGGGTGGCAGTGTCTTTATGCAGCCTGTGGCCCTCTGTGCAGTGGAGAAGCTTTGGTGYCTTACCACAGGTGACACTGGTGAAAGAGATCGGGAGGTGACCAGTGGAAATCAGAGTATAAAGACACGCAGAGCTGGTGTGAACTTGGTCAGCAGGGTACACGCTGGTCATGTGGTTAGCAGTGACTGTTACTTTTTAAAATCAAAAATTTATTTTTTATTACATAAAAACAGAAAACTTGCACATTATTATGGGGTGTCCTGTGGTGTTCTGATCCATGGGAGCACTGTTGTGTTTAAGTCAGGTCACATGTTATCTGTCCTCACTTATTGCGTTTGTTAATGGTGAGAATCTTGAGAGGACTACTTCTAAGCTCTTTGGAACGTGTAGTGCATTTGTCATTGTCTGTCGTCACCCTGCGCTTTGGTAGCACAGCAGAACTCCTTCCTGCTCTCTGACACCCCTCCTGGCCCCACTCCCCCCAACCTCTGGTAGGACCTTTCTCCTTCAAGGTCCTGTGGGAGTGAGGTCGTGCAGTACTTGACTTTGCCCGGCTCAGCTCACTTAGCATAAAGAAGTCTAAGTCCATCCTTGTTTTACCCCAAATTATAGGATTTCTTTTTTTATGGCCGAATAGTGTTCTAAATGTGCCACGCTGTCTTTATCCATTTGTGAGTTGGTAGATGCCTTTCCATTTCTTGGCGTTGTGAGTAGTCTCCCAGTCGACATTGGAGTGCCTGTGCCTTGGACACTATGATCTCGTGACCCTCAGTGTACCTGGCAGTGGGACAGTGTGTGCTTGTTAGTTTTTAAGACCCTTCTGCAGTGTGTTCATAGTGGGCAGACCCTCATGGACACTTGTGGCTTGTGTTTTTCTAGTATGAAACCGCTGTCCATCCTGTAGTTCATCTCCTCGGTGCTTCAGTAGCAGCGATTCTGAACTTCAGACTCTGACCTTGTGAGAACTATCCTAACTGGCTAGTGACCTGTGGTTGTGTGTGTCCTTTGCTGGTTGGGAGTCGCTCTCAGAAGGTTCTGTGTCAGATCATACATATTTTATCAGTAAGTGATATTTCTGTGAACTTGAATACTTTTAAGCAGCCTCTATGTACAAAAGAGCAGCCATGAACTTGAACACAAGTTTGGCCATATTTATCTAGCATTTTATGTGACTCGCTAGTGAATCTTAGGACCGCACTGTGGGACCAGTGCTCCCGAAGGCTTGTGGCCTGAGATTCTGAGACAGGCTGCGGCGTCTGCGGGTGGACTTGTCCCATTTGAAGGCCTTCCTTTGAAGGCCTTCCTTAGAGCAGTGGGTTGTATGCCGGGAGCTTGGAGGGGCCACCCTGCTCTGTTAGGGAACCCTGCCTGGTACGGGGCCTTCACAGGGGCTGTCTTCACACACCTGCTGTGAAGTGCCCTCAGGTCCTCTCTGGGTGGGAAGCAGAGCAGAGGCCTGGGTGTTCTAGTTCTGTCTCACCTTGAGAAAGCTCTACGTCTTGGGCTTCTTCATCTGGAGGAAAACAAAGGTGGAGAAGTGGCCAGATGGCGTGTTGGGTGTCTCCTAGACCTAACTGGTTCTGTATTGTCTTTCCAGTGAACGGAAGTGTGGAATATAACCTAATATGGAACAATGGAATGTAGTCTGTAGAGATAACRAAGGGAAGATTTTGTCTTACAGGTTTTATGGCAGAATCGTGGACAAACCCGGTGACCACGATCCTGAGACTCTGGAGGCCATCACAGAAAATGCTAAAGGCTTGGGTGGGATATCGGGAGAGAGGATTTGGGTGGAACTGAAGAAAATCCTTACTGGTGACCACGTAAATCATTTGATTCACCTCATCTATGATCTTGATGTGGCCCCTTACATAGGTGAGACCAGGTTATAAAATGTTTTTTGAGTTTTTGGCAAGGAATTGTCTTCCTCCCAAAATTTCATAAGGGAAAAAACGTGTTGAGTCATTTGGCTCAAGAATTCTTAGTAGARAACTGGCCTATTTTAAAACACTCTCCCAAGGTAACCTAGGGGCTAGGGTGGGTCAGTTTTGTCTTGGTCATCGGGGAGCCCTTCCACCGCAGTGGCCTCTGCTTCTTGGGTTAATTTCTGACGGAATCAAGGGGCTCAGAAGTAACTGCTCTCCTGCTGACGGACGGTCGASGCTTGTGATTCAGTAATGTCACATTCATGTTCACAGGCAGAGGGGCTCACGGACTAGGGGGGTGGGTTCTGTGGAGCAGGGCGGGAGGTGGGAATTTGGAAACCAAGTACCTTGTGGATCAGGTGTCACCACTGTCTGTGGACTTCTGATGGTGCTGGGAGAGGACATAGGGATATCTGGTTTGGAGAGTGACCCTAGGGACGGGGAGGAGACCGTGGATAGGATGAGTGGCGTGAGGGCGTTTCTGTGACTCCACTGACGGCTGGCTCGGGTGGATAACGGGTGTGGGCTGRCCTTGGTTTGCAGGCTTGCCTGGCAGCGCGGGTCTGGAAGAGTTCGACAGGGTCAGTGGGAGCGTGGAAGGCTTCGCACCAAAGCCCATGACTCTCCTGGCCTCGCTGTTCAAAACACAGGACGACGTGACAAAGTTGGATCTGAGGCTGAAGATTTCAAGAGAGGAGAAGAATCTTGGCTTGTTTCTGGTGAAACACAGGAAGGACTTGAGGAGGGCGGACGGCCCCGAGCCCCTGAAGCCCTACCAGGACTTCGTCATAGACGTGAGTATGGCCTCGCCGGCTCCCACTTGTTTTGAGTGGGAAAGGTCCCAGTGAGCGKTGGTGATGGACTAACGCGTGTCTGCCCCTAGTCTAGGGAGCCGGACGCGGCGGCCCGTGTGTGTGAACTGCTCAAGTACCAGGGCGAGCACGGTCTCCTCCGGGAAATGCAGTGCTGGTCGGTGCCCCCCTTCCCCATCAGTGGCCACGACATCAGGAAGGTGGGCATTTCCTCGGGAAAGGAGATCGGGGCTCTGCTGCAGCAGCTGCGCGAACAGTGGAAGAAAAGTGGCTACCGGATGGAGAAGGAGGAGCTCCTCAGTCACATCAAGAAGACGGAGAGCTGACCCGGAGCCCGCCACGCCACGGCGGCCGGTAAACGGGCTCTCCTTCCGCCTCCCCTGATGAGGTTTAGGAGGCGACAGCGGCTTTCAAGCTGGTTCACAGGAAATCTTGACAATGACTGTGAAACTGTGAAAGGGTGTCTGCCTCCTCCCAGAGTGGTCTGGCTGTACCTAGCGTTCTTGGAAAAGTAGGGTCGGATGTCCCCAGAGGGTGGTGGTCCTACCATCTGGTAACTGCCTTGAACAGGAAAAGTTAATGTCTGCCGAGGGGATGACCACCCGGGCTGCTCTGTACAGTGATGGCCTCTGATGGGTTCCGGGTCCTGTACGAGATCCAAAATGAAGGTTGCCCGGTGCCTGAGACACCTGACACACTTGGATTAAGACTCCCGTGTAACACACGAGTGCTTGTGGGTGGCGCGCACAGCAGTGTGGGTGGGTTTTACTGTGGAGGTGGAGGTGAAAGTGGTGGTGTCCTAACCCTATGCATCCTTGAGCCTGTTATTTTAATAAAACAGTCACTTTGGTTTTGGTGTGCGGTGGCATACACACTTGGTGACACCCTTTTCCTACTTGGAGTCTGTTCTCGCCAGGTGCAGAGAGACTGTCTGTTTCAGCTGCTTTTTCCTTTCTGTCCAGCCATAGCATCTTTATAGCCTATGAGCAAGTAGCAATTTTTGGACGTTGCCAAAAGAGGTTTTGCAGAGCACACTGCTGAGAAGAAGTGGCACTAGCACTAGTAGGTGAGTACTGACGGTATTATGAAGATATCTGTAGACTGAAGGATGCGGAAAAGGAGTGCAAGGACATTTCCCTGAGCTGTTGTCATTTAAAATCCCAGGCCTCAGYCAGAGCAAAGGAACACAAAAGGAACMCCCACCATGGGTCACCTGACCTCTATACCCTGATAAGCCCCAGGCACGTCCTGTCCCACCTTAGTGGAGTGGAGCAGTTACCCTAAATGAAGCCTTATAACCCAGACCCTTGCTTTAGCCCTCCGCCATCTTCTGCCCTGAAGATGATCCTGGCCCGGTGCTTGGCAATTGGCTCCTTTGCTAAACCTTGATTAAAGAGAAGCCTGCTGACCCGAGGGTTGCTTCCACCGTCCTCATGTATGCCATGTGTCCCAAACACTGGGTTCCCTGCCCAGGAGCTGGAGCAGGGTGGGATGAACCCTCCCCAATCCTACCCTGTAGTTACACTAGGACACAGGCGTTTCCCCACCCTGTGGAACGTAGGCCCTCCACACCTCTGCTGCGAGCAGCCGGCTACCCCAAGGCTTTGAGTCAGAGGTCTAACAGCCCTGGGGTACCAACCACCTGCTAAACTTTTGTARCTTTATGCCACATGGACAGTGAAAGGACACTTGCAAAGCCCAAGGACCACTCCACACACTGGAATCCCACATGAGATTCACTTGTCAGTAGCATGAAGCAAACCGACAAGGCTGACCTGCCTGTTGGCACTCAGAGCAGCTTTATGGCCCATGAGCGGAGTTCCAGAGCATGTTCAGGGGTTGCATGATCAGGGGCTGCGTCCTGGTCCGGGCTGGGTCAGCCTTTTAGCAGGCATGTTCAGAACCRAAGCCTGCGAGTCTCTAGGTAGCAGATCTGATGCCAATAGCCAGTAAAGGGATTTGTACCAAAGCCTTTGTTAATGTTAAAGGAGGCCGACTTCTACCCGCTCGCCAGCTGCCCTTCCCTGGCACACCCAGCAAACCTCCAGATCAGGGGCACCGTTTCCATTTGTTTTTACAGCCAAGACCCCATTTGTCCAGTTTCCACCACGTAGATGCCACCACCTTTTGGCTAACRAGGGACCCCCACCACTGAGATTAGGAGAAAGGATGTTTCCCCAGCCCCCAGTGGGAAAAGTCCAGTCGGGCAGCATGCAGAGTACAGAGGGTGCTTTGCCCTCTGTTGAGCCTCCTAAAATATGGGAACTACCCATTCAGTTCGTGGAGACACCCCTGGGCTGTCTACCAATTCTGAGACTCTTTATTCCCATTCTGACCTCGAGATTAAATGCCTCATTAGGCTCAGCACTCAGATTTGGCCACAATACCAATTAGATAATCTGCACTGGTGGCCCAAGATGAAACCTTCGATCAGTAGCTCTCCAAAGTTCAAAAATAATCTATTACAGATTGTCAGGATTGTCTGAGGTTTTCTACCTCTAAGCTTGCTCTCTCCTTCCCTCCATTGCCAAATAATACTCCTGCAGGGATTCTCTCTCCCAGTCCAGTTYCTCAGTGGGTCTGCGCCTGACACCCACAAAGACTTATTTAGCGAAGGGCACTGAGGCTTCCCAGAAGCAATTTGTAGATAGACAGAAAAGCAGCTCCCAGCCTCAGCCACCCATAGGCCCCACCAGACTTCCTAATGCATCTTCTGGGCCCTGTCCCCAGGGCAGACAGTTTTTGAAGTCCATACACTGAACTGCTAGAACCCAAGTCCCACTGCCCATCACCTCAGACAGTATTCTCTGGGGGGCTCCAAGTTATAGGGATGGTGGGTGGCAGGGAGGTGTGCAGTTGTAAGTAAGTGACTGGGAGTGAGACAAGGTTAGACGGCTCTAGGACTCCYGGAATATGGAAAATAGATCTGACTATGGAAAATAGAGCCTTTTCCAATCTGGAATGGTGATCAATATAAGAAGTTTTAAAATGTCACCCATCTTGATAAGGATTTCTCACAGCATGTGTGTTAAATTCCAATGTTTCACTGTGTGAACCTACTCAAGTAGGTTATGATGCCTCACAAAATATGTATTATGTTACATGCAGAACTGTATGCTACAAAGATAAGTCAAACTATTTGGCAAAGTCAGCACAAACTCAGTCTCAAAGGCCAGTAGCCACCTGGCTGCCTGTCAGGTGCTCAGTGTCGTATCTGATGGTTGGTGGCTGGCATTGTTATCTTGGCTGGAATAATTGCTTCTGTATCCACATTTAGCAATTTCAAAGGAATTTTACTGAGACCTGGCAAACTCAAGTACATATTGATCAGGAAATTTTAAGTGAAATTCAACAACTAAAAGATTCTGTGATATGACTAGGAGAACAAGAGTTCCTATGGGCTCAGAGACATCAGTGTCATGAACATTACCAGTTGTATGTCACTAGAGTTCCATATAATAACACTTKAGATTCAATGGCAAAATGTAAGTAATCACTTAATGGGACTTAATCATTTTCATGTTTCTTYGGATGTATTGGAATTAGAATCTCAGGTTCGGCTACAGTCAGTGCAGAAGGACCAGCTTTTAATAATGAGGAAATATAGGGCAATTTGGCTAAAGCAGTCTCGTTGCTTAAACCTTTTAAATACTTTACTGTAAGTGTATCTTACTTACTAGCTATGATCATATGGTCAAACTTATCTCTGTTCTTGTTTTGTATAGTCTATCAAGCAGGATAGAATCAAAACATCAGAAAGTATAATTCAAAGAAAGGGTTTCTCAGGGAGACCTGTCAAAACCCATCTCCCTCTGTGACCACTGCCTGATTTTTTTTGAAAAAGGAGGACTTCACTCATGCTAATTTTAAAGCTCCTCCCACACACACCCCTCTTCAGCCTCAATCTCCAGGGTCTTCATGTTCTCTTCCAGAACTCTGAAGGGGGGACGTCCCATACTTCACCCATTCTCAGCAGGAAGCAGCCAGATTTGATGTTCATCCCAATTCATTAGACCCCTTTCAGAGTCTGGAATGGAGGAGATGGAAAATATGCCAAGGACATTTCCCTTAAGTTTTGTCACGTAAAATCCCAGGCCTTAGCCAGAGGAAAAGAACACAAAAGGAACTGCACTGAGCCCCCCATCCCCACCCAATCTTGGGTCACCTGAAMAGAGTAAGCCCCAGGAAATTCCCTGTTCACATTCCTGTCCCACCTTAATGAATTGGGGCATGCTTCAGCCCACTGCCATGTTCAGCCTTGAACATCAGTTGTGCCAGGGTTCCACTGGTTGGCTCTGCTGATGTGAGGTGTGCTTCCCATCTCCCACCTCTGTCACTCGTGTGTCATCTGTCCTAACAGACACCATAGAATCCCCACACCCCACGTGTGCCCAGGCTGTGTTGCAGGGTAGGGACTGTTGTAAAACCTGTTATTACATATGGGGATGTCACTGCCAGTGTTACATGYCACAAGGAAGAATTAGTAAGAATTGAAGGTACTAATTTCACTTTTTGCTGCTTAAATTTTACTTGAATATATTTAGTAAATTAAGCCACAATGTGATTTTTGCTATTTTACCAGTTAATTTGGTATAAGGAATGCTTTAAAATTTTGCCAATTGTTTGGTAAGTAAGCAGTATTTGCTAATTTAGTTGGGAAGAAAATTATACTAAAAGTTTTTCATTTATTTAGAAGCTGAACAAACCTGTGCTACTGTTGCTAATTTTTCAATGGCACATAAGGGGTACTTTCAAGTTTACTTATGTGGAAGTTTTTCTAAATTTTCATTGTGGTAAATAAGGTACACTTGAAATTTTTGCCCATTTTTCTGTTTATATTCTAACAGCAAATATATGCTAAATTTGGCATTTAATTCCTGTGGGGAAAAAAGACCACTAAAAATTTTGGTAAGTTTTCCATTTAATTGATATGGTAAATAAGGACAACTCAGTCTGCTGATTTTTCCATAAATATGGTAGAAAGGGGATACTGGTAAATTCCTTGTTTTAAATTTATGTGGCAAATAGGGCCACTTGCAAATTATGAATAAGACCTGCATTTAATTTATATAATAAAGCCACACCACATGGACATTTTCCAAGTTCTGTAACTACTTTCTGTATTAAATAGGGGGATTTGCATAAGAATGGTATTTATGTGGTAAGTGGGGCCAAGTGCAATTTGGGGCAGTTTTTTTGAGTTCATTCTATATGAAGCTTTACCTTATATTTTACATGGGAACATTGGGCAATTTTGCCATTTATTTTATATGGTGTATATGGGCCAGTTGGAATTCTTCCAAGTGCTGTGTTGCCTKTATGTGGTAAACAGGGCCACATTCAATTCTTGGTAAAATTCACGATTTATGTGGTAAGTAGGGCCACTTAAAATTGTACTTTTGCCAAAAATTGTGTTTAATGTATGTGGTAAATGCAGGCAATTACGATTTTGGGCAAAATCTGCATTTAACTTATGTAAATAGAGCCATTTTTGATGGTGGTCAGTTTTGCCCTTTATTCTATGTGCTAAATGTGGGTCACTTGGAATTTCCCAAATGTTGTAATTTAGACACTATTGCATTGAGCACACGTGTAAGAATCAGTAACGATGGGCGATATTTATGTCCTACACGTCCACTGTTTGAATCAAAACCTGTCCATGAAATAAAATAGACAAAATTCAGTATCACCTGTAGTTTGCACACAGGGTTGGGATCTGTGGGAAAAAAGATTCATACATAAGTCTTTTTCAGGCTAAAAGTGCATGTTTTAATATTTTCAAAATTTACAAATCAGTATCTCTCAGAAGCTACAGAAAATTGAAAGGAACAAACTCCTTTGAAAGTAACAATATACACAGACCTGCATCTTTCAAAAAAAAAACGTGCACTGCTTCCCCACTGTTGAACGCTGCTGCCAGAACAGGAGTAATTTGGTATGTACACCTCCAGGTCCTGTCACTGACACAGAACCAGAAAACAAGCTGTGGTCTACTCTCCTCTCCAACTTGGGTGAGTCAGCAGGCCCCCATGTAATGTTGCTGTTAAGTGATACATTGTAGGCATTAATTTCCAAAGCAGATACGAGAATACCAATTTGTTAGATTCCTATCCATACCACTTCTGTTTACAAGCAAAGTATCACTTTGTCTGGGCTCAGTTCATCATCAGTGTCTGGGATTGTGGGCAAAAGAGCAGATCGAGTTAAACCCCAAAACTTTTGAGGTGACATGTCTTTTTTGGTGGCTGTGAATTTCCATCCGATGTGACTTGCACATATCTTACACTGGGCGATGGTCCAGGCATACCTATAAGATGAAGGACAAATATTAGCCAAACTACACCCAAAGTTCATTACATAAATCTGAAAGGAAGAACAGACGCTTCAGAGCAACACTGAGAATTATGCACCAAGATGGCCCTGAAATCAGCTCCCTAGACACTTCACCTGGCTGATGTAACGTGGGACCTGACTCCATGTTCACACCGTATGTTTTCTTCTATTAGAAACAAAAATCACTACCACAAAACGCTCTTTGTACTGCAGTCAACTTAGAAAACAACCATTACCTGCAGGACCGCCCAGTGTGTRCTGGACAGGTGATGGAATACTCACAAGAACCACTCCTAACATCATTCATAGAGGGCAGGTATTCTGCATTTGAAATCAAGGGAACATTTGTGGCAATGTGTTACCTTTTTTTGTCCTTCATTTTCTCCCCAGGAGTAAAGTCCCACATTTCAATACAATCACTGTCACACCTATTTTTAAGAAAACTCTAACACCTTGCTTAGAACCCTGCAGTTTTTTGCCCATTTCGAGGCAAGCAAAAGGAGCAACTACCTTACCCAGGAAACCAGCTGTGCTCTGTTGAAGGGCGGCCTATCAGGTTCAAGTTGGAAGCTTTATACACGGTCAGCGTCTCATGCACATATCCATGAGGATTCACATAGGCTGCCATGGGCCCACATAAGGATAAACTAAAAGGCAGAGAAGAAAAGAATTTAAAAAGTTCRCCAAGCAATAAAGTTCATCTTGCAGACAAACACTTCCTGTGAAAAAACAGGGCTGCGTACATCCCMGTGATGACCCAAAGACAACAAGTACTTCAAATTCTGCTGACAGTACATTTGCTCACCCTCAGCMGATTTATCAGAATTACTCTCAAACACTTATAGCAAAGCCACATTTTCACAGTGTACCTTGGGCCCCCAGGACAATCTTCTAACACCTGCTTCATCGCTGAATACCACTGTATCACTCCCCTCATCCTCTGACACGCAAGTACCCTCCAAACACCTTTTAATGGGTGCATTTTCAAAAAAAGGGAGGRTAACAATTGCAACTGTTTCATTAAAAATGCTTTATTTATGGAGGTGATGGGGAGACACTCGTGCATGCATACAATAAAAATGTAATGAAGACCATACCTGAATATTTCATTTTTGGTTGTGATCTCTGTTTCTTGACATTGTTTACAGCAAAGGGAAGTACACTGGAAAGTACARGAAAAATGCTCAATGGAAGAATCTTGCATTCATTCTAATGCAATTACCTCATTAAGAAAGCTGGCAGGACAAAAAAGGTGACACACTGCCACCAATGTTCCACAAGGCATTCATATTTGACARATGCAGAGCACCATCCCACCTCTGAAATGTCCAGTCACTGACTTTCACAGCATTTTGGAATAAGAATGCTCGACATTCATTTTAAATGGAAACCCTAACAGGCTGTTGGCTTTGCCAAGAGGCAGTGTCCCCAGCCTCCCTCCTGGTCCCCCACTTTCACATCCTGGTTCAGGGGAGTTCTGTTCACTGGACTCACTTTGTTCATGATGTCCAATTCACAGCGAAGCCGCTGGACGGCACTGCCGATTTTGAGGAGCTGAATTCTTAATACATCATCAATAGGAAGACACGCGGCCACTCTGTAAGAAAAATCTTCAAGACATGAAAGGATTTTCAGGATTTAAACTGATGAATCAGATGATGTCCTTTGAAATGACCCTTCCCCAGGACAGGTTAACATAATTACAAACAATTCTAAAATACRCATCTACTACGTAATGTCTACACACTACCAAAATAAACTACCTGATAAACAGATCATTCTGTATGGCACGTCCTGGGACAGGGGTCACTCTGCCAGGGACGTGTTCTCTCAGGAGAACTGCTTAACTACACTATGGATTTTCTATGCAAAATTTTGCCTACAGTAATGGTTTCACAGAACGAGAGAATTGTGTTGSAATTACTTTAAAAATGTTTTTCCAGTTACTCCAAGCAAAGAAAATGTGTATGCTTTTTGGTTACAAAAACAAAACATTGATTCTTTCGGGGCATAAGGCTTGACCTTCTTTCAGCAACACATCATAGACCATGAAAAGAAATTAACTTTTCATACCTATTGGATTTGAAGGAAGAGAATCATCTTTTAGGTTTTCATCCCACTCATGTAGCTGTTTCTTAATTCTATCCATCAAGGTTTCCTGGTTTAAAATAAAAGTTGCCATAATGAAGTTATGCTTACTAACATGTACTGTCATCTTTTCAACTCTGCAATAAAACACACTGGTAGCACTGCATTCAGTACTGTGGAGAGACCTCAGCACCATCGTTTTGTACACTTTCATGTACCTGGGGGTGCTGCCTTTTCCAACTCACTACAGAGTTCTGTGGCCCCTAATTGACACCTACAAGACAGCTTACTGCATGCACCAAAAACACCTTCCTCCCCCACACCCCATCCACAATGGCACCAAAGCAGCAGAAGGAAAATTGCGACTTGCTCTAGTGGTGTCATAAACCCTTCTCCCAAGACTTGAGGCTTGTGGTCAAACCTATTTGTTAAGAGGAATGACTGGGAYGCGTTCATCGTCTAAAATCTGTTACTGACACCACATTCACAGTTCGGAAAAATACTTGGCCCCAAATCCCTGGRTAAGCGATAGAAACTGGGCTTTAAAACCATCCAAGATTCTGCACATTGTCCACCCATCTGCCTCTTCCAGAGTTTGATAAAACGTGGCGATGCCCAGTATGAGATCTCAGGGAGTGCCAGGCCCCGTGCGCACGTCAAGCAGCAGCAGGCTAGTGGTCGGGAGGGGAGGGGAGGGGAGGGGAGGGTAACACACTCATTAGAGAAAGACCAAAACATGGTAATAAAACACTGCAGTTTTCTACATGGGAACGCCACCCGACCTGAGAGAACCCCAGATTGTTTAATAAACCCTAAGGGTTTCAGTGTAGCCTGCCCTTCAGTCACAAGTCACCAGAAGCTAAAAATTCCGTTAAGTGGGAGAGACTCCCTGGGTTTGACTTCAGATGTCCTATGTACTTTAGTTCTGAAAATAGCACAAGCATTCTCATTTTGCTTTAATGACACTCGTGACACTGCTTGCCACAGTGGCCAGTTTCACAGGAGTTACTTACAGCATCATACAGAGAATACAGCCAGCGGGGCCACGAAGTCAGATTTGCACAATGAAACTTTCTCTGAAAACAGAAAAAAGTCACTTAATAAAACCCCTAAAAAATAAAGACTCCTATAATGAAAAATTAACTTACAAAGAATTTTGGCTTAAAATATCGTCTTAAATGTTGAGAAGATTTTCATGACAATCGTGTCAGATGATGCTCTGGCCTGACCTCATACCTTCATGWCCTCCAGGTCTGCCCACAGCCAGGACCCTCATTTCTACCGCAGAAACCCCTGTCCCTCTTTCTGACCAGGAGAATTCCCAGTAAAAGCCTCCCTGGTGCTGCGGCACTAGTGGTACACAGCGAGTGCACCGAGGAGGCCCACAGTGGGACGGGACCACGAGGGCCAGGCCGGGTTTGGCTGCTCCTTTCCACTGGACCCATTCGGGAACTTGAAGACCTTTGACTTTTCTGGTGACACTGAGCTTATGACACACTGGGTGGGTACACAGGGCATTTTCTCCACACCCTTAACCTTCGAGCCATCCTATAGACAGATTTTTCCCTAAACATTCCGTCAAGCCTAGCAGACCCCGGGCTGAGGTCCGCAGCTTTAGCRCCACCACAGTGACTATGGGGACGCACGCGGGATGCTGGGCCACAGCCAGCATCCACTCTTCCGTTCCAACCCGAGGGACCTTGTCAAGCCCCGGCCATCGCTGAGCKCAAAGTCAAGGTGAGGCAGCAGCCTGCCTGTTTTAACACTGGGGAGGACCAAGTGGCAAGAGGGCCTCTAAGGGCCAGGAGGCGTGGCCTGCATCAACGCCAGCTGCCTGCCTACTTGCAGGACCCGACCAGAACCTGCTCAACACGCAATTCCGGCTGTCTGTGTAGACACTCCCCTCCTGGGGCCTCTGTGGAGCCGCCCACTCTGCGCCACAAGAGCTACACTGCAAGATGGCCAGTCCCCCTCCAGCACTCCGAGTCAGGAGACCCCCGTGYACCGCTGCTGCCGGCTGGCCGTAATCCCCACGGGCACACGGGACCCACAGGGAAGKACACCTGTTCCAGCTGCTCCAGAACCTCCCTCCTCTGCGACACACGCCTKCCCCCAGGGATGAATCCAGCGGAAAGCCAGGGACTGAGACTTACACCTCAAACATCAAATCAACCACAGATTTCAGAAAGAGAAGTACATGTTTCACAGGACACCAAATAAATATTAAAACAGACAAAACAAGACGACACAGGGAGCCCATGGAGCATGAAAGGGCTCACATCTGTCTCTGTACAACATGTACRTTCACCACCACAATCACCTCAATACACAGCAGCCACAAGAACTGGGGGAAAGAGACACAGAGGACGCCCAAGAGAACTGGAAATAAGGGAACAGGTCACCAAGCACAGATCCTGGTCCTGCATCCCCCAGACCAAGTGAGTCAGCGCAACGGGCGAGGTGCTGCTYGGGGACACTAAAAGCACCGGAGTCTTGACCCCAACACCCTGTGCCACACCACCACAGGCAGGCTGGGCGGCTCCCGGCCTGTGCCCACCAACCCCCTTACCCTAGCTGTGCTGCAAACCCACACTGTGAAAGAAGAACGCTGCTCTGTTCCACGACACTTGAGATGGCCCTAAGGACAGCGTTCACCTGGGAGATGATCCTCAAGGAACAGGATGCGCCCTGTCAGGTATCTTACAGCCGTGTCATGGCAGAGGGTCACTGTGAAATGCCATGTGCTACTACCAAAGCCAGTGGGGTCTTCAGCAAAGGGAAGGCCTGCTTGGTTTAGTCCTCCTGATACCTCAGGCTGCCCAGAGATGGACCCAAGACCTCCTCACGCACTTAGGCAGTGGCTTAAACCTGAGGATCCAAAACAGGAGGCTTCTCCTCTAAGCTCTCCTGGACTTGAATTACTGGAACCACTCAACGACAAGAGAAAAACAAGAGGACCACCAACAACAGCAAGGGACCAAATACTCTACAGCAGTGATGGCAACCGTCAACACTGTGGCCAGAAGCTCCTGGGCCCTAAGAACACCACGTGGCTACAGGGAGCATCATCTCCGTTGTCAAGGAAAGAAGCACCAAAGGACGCAGCACCTTACCCAAGGTCGCTCAGCTAGTACATGGGGAGTAGCCAACATTTGCACACAGCACACCTACCTGTCAAACACAGGACACAAGTTAAAACTAAGACAAGCACCAGGCATCACACTTATGCATCTAAGATATACCGCTCTTTACCACTGACTAYAGCCAGCCACAAGTAAGCTACATAAAATCCAATGTCTAACTTCCTTCCTTTTACAGTAAGAAAGTCCTCTAAGGTTCTGTATCTTGATTTCACCAACAGATTCTAAAAGCTCTAAATCAACTAAATATGCCTCACATAACTTAATAACTACATATGCAAACAGAAGAGAACGATACCAGAAAGGATCAGCTACCATTCACCCAGCAATGGCCAAAACTCAGGTAGGTGTCCTTGATGGTCTTAAACTTCTGAGACCTACCCACGTATCTGGCCCCAAGAAGAGGCGCTCCCATCTTACATCTGAGTGACACTTCATAGCCCTTCTTCAAGAAAGCCACCTCCATGATATATTTTGCAAAAGAGTTCAAGAAAATGTTAATACTAATCCAAAATCTTAGACACTGGAAAGTGACCCTAACCTTCCCCTGGCGGTGGGCCTTACCACCGAGAGCAAGCACGAGGAAGTCATCGCCTGGAGACCCTCCACAACACCTCCACTGGTAAGCCTCACGGCTATGGCTTCAGCTTTCCCTCCCAACCATACAGACTGTTCAAAAACTGAAACTCCAACCCACTGGGTCTTCAGGGTACAATGACAGCAAAAGGACAAAACAAACGTCCACACAGAAAATCCTGACCACAGCACGTGAGCGACCAAAGGTGCTCATTTATTTTTTTCAGAAGCTATCACCATCAGCAACATACTAAATACAATTTATCCCAATAAAAAAACTACCAGCTTTTCTCTTTTCTTCTTTCATTTATTAAATTCCTACTTGGAAATGAAACTGGACACTTATTACCCCTGAGACTTATGACRATGGCAGGTGCAGAGATGCATGTGCACGCAGGTAAGGTGCCCGCGGAGGGAGCGGCTGGTCTGTCTGAGGAAGCCCCTCACCTGACAYGGCACGAAATGCATGATGAAGAGCAGTGCCGCACACACCGTCACATGTCAGCAGATGTGACGACACAGCGGTCACGCCGACAGACCAACAGGGAATGACATCTATCAGTGGGAGAGATAAGAGCCTTTCAGATGACTGTAATGGGATAGAGTGAGCTACAGGGAAAACACAGTTCCCACCAGGAGGAACCACACAGGGYGGCGAGCTTCACACAGAATCAGTGCTCAGCACAGGAGACCACAGGGTGCCCCTCTGCACAGAAGGGTCGTTTTTAGTTTGGATTCTTAACAGGCACTCTGAACATTCTACTCCACCAATAAATAACAGAGCACACCCAAAACAAAGTCAAGACAAATGGCAAACAAGAAAATGTCTGGAACTCATTAATTGTAGGGATTATGAAGATTATAAAAACTTACAGATGTCAACCAATCACTAGAAAGATGTGCAAAKATAATAAACTTAGAAATGCAAATACAAGCTTTTCTGAAACAAAATGCTAATCCTGACGCTCATCCACCTTACATCTCCARCAGGAGAGTATGCTTCACTTACCAGATCAGCACATATCAGGTCTGATAGCCTCTGTGACTCTGTAGTAAAAACAACAATGAGACCACAATAGGTGYCACTCTCCTTAGTAAGGTACACGGAAACTGTCAACACTACAAAGACAACTACCCTCAACCTGCTAATTCCACTCCTCAACACTGACCAGACATTTGCATCTATAAAAGGACATGTGTACAAGTAACCACCTGCAGATGTCATCAACAGGGGAGGGGTTACCTAAGTTACAGTGTTGCCATACAACAGCTTCCTGGGCAGCCTTAAAGAGAAAACTGTGGTGCTCTACAGACTGATATGAAAGCATCTCCTATAAGATACCCTAAGTAGCAAGAGGCTTCAGAGCGGGTACACTCTTTCACACAAAATAGGGGGCAGAGGAATACCTGTATCCATCTTCCTCCACTCTAGGAAACTGAAAGTCTGACCTCACATCTGCAAGCACTATTCTGAATCAATGCCCGTTTTCTCCTGCTCCCCACGACGCACAGGAGCAACACGGCCCACATCCAGCCTCACTCACTCCTCAATACCCACTGTTTCCACAGTTGAGCTCTCTGTACGTTTCACACTCAGCTCTTTTGCAGTTGGTGTGTCAAGCCTTTCTAAGCGAACAAGCAGATGGTCCAGGCGAGCAGAAAGTACACTTAAAAACAGTTAGGTGGTGTTCCAAGTGGGTTCAAGAGTCCTCATTTAAATGTGGATTTTCYCTGCAGTAAACCTAGTGAGTGAAGAAAGCACTGCCCGGGGAAGAGGAAGAGTTTCCAGCTCCCACTGCAGGATGAAGGCCTGCAGGCAGAAGCAGGTGGGAGACCGACTCCACATCTTTAGATCCACACGTGGGCTCTTCCTGTAAACGCTCCCTTGTTGGAAAGGAAGAGGACACAGAATACTTGGAGAAGGTTCAACGATTATCCTTCTTCGCATCATTTGCGATACTCAGTTTTCAATGGCAAAYGTTAATGGGAAGTGCAGACATCCTGAGCTCAACTGGACAGGTCTCAGGAAGACCACAGCCCTGGTTCTGCCCCATCTTGTCTGCCTGAATGAATAGAGCGACCTGGTCAGGTTAGCATCGTGTAAGCCTCCTGAGATCCTGAGCACCTTAAATGTCTCCTGAAGACTCTCCAGTGCACTGCTCAACATCATATTGGGATCTTGACATAACTTGGGGCAAGAGAGAGGTCTAGATCTGTCCTAAGACAGCTCAATCACATAATCTGGTCCCTGGTAAGCTAGTGCCCAGCTAAAAGTGCAGCAAGCAAAGCACATCCGTCCCCACTGCGGTACCTGCACCCCCGTTTCCTGTGCCTCTCTGATGCACCTGGAATGGCTCTGAGGGGTCTCTCTCAAGTAAACTGCTCTGTAGGTCCCGTGTCCAAAAGACAGCAGCCAACTCTTCACCCTGTCATCCAGATCCCAAATTTCAGAATCTGAGACATTTTCAGTTTAACAAGGGAAGCCCTTCAAAAATCCAAAAGCCACCCAGGATGAATACTCTCCTAAAACTCCCACGCCCCCCGTTTAGCCCCCGGCAATGCCACACAAAAGCCAGCCAGGGCTGACACCTGAGAATCCAGACTGACTGACGGAAGGCGGGACGTGACAGGGAGTCAGCTCATCTTCTCCCAAACCAGGATGTGCTTCCTGGCTTTCCTTGCACTCCTTCAGCCGTGAGGATCCAGCTGCAGAGGGCAAATTCTGATTTCACTGTGAAGGTGCTGAGGTGCTTCCACCACAGAATGGGAAGATTTTAATCATAATTAGCCCCCAAATTAAACTTTAAAATGCCATCGCATTTGCTTAACTGAAATTCAGGTTTAGGATCAAAAGATCCTGCAGGCAACATGAAAAATTCGTTGTACACACCTTCCAAGTGTTAACTCTAATTGCTTTCACCTTATGACTGGAACAAAACAAAAGAGAATTTATGGCTTTTAAATGGTTAAGAGCTTTTAAAAACCCATACCTATACACTGAGAAAATACCCACTGATCGCAGGAAACAGCTTTGCAAATACTGAAGTGACAAGCAGGCAGCATCTCGATGCCACTGCTCTGCCACCACAAGATGACTGCATTAGGAAACTGGCACCAAGCATACCATGATGCTTCAGGGGGCTCATTCCAAAGCCACGCCTCAGAGCCCACACGCTGCAGAGCTGCCTCCCACACGTCTCTGTCAACACTTAGGGCTGCAGGTACAGCTGCTGTGAGCACGGTTTCCCATGGCTCCACTGTCCACAGAAACAGGGTCAGAGTCCACTTCCAGAACCCATATGAGATCTGGATAAGGAAGCACCACGCAGCTACACAAAACCCACAACACACTGATGTTGTTAAACCTTCAAAAGTCTCCCTTTGTGGTTGTTTGACAATCTTTCAGGAGTCTAATTAGACCTTTTTATTAAAATCTCCTTGTAAAATCTCATTAAAACACCTCCTAGCATGTGTGACCAACCGACTGGACATACAGAATAATGAGCCCTCCTGGCTCATCTAAGCCAGCCAGGCARGGACAAGCCCCGTCCACATCCAACACTCTGGGAAAACTGGAGGAGTTCTACCAAAAGAACACTGAAAGTCATCGCGCACCGTGCAGAATGCGGACCTCTGCATTCAGAAACTAGTAAACTCATCCTTGAGGCAGAGCTTCGACAGTGACCACTCTACACTTCAAGCTATCAACCTCACAAGAGAGTGCACACAGCTCCATCATCTCACTTCCTAAGAGCAAGAATGATCCACCAAAAATGTACAGAAGAGCTAACGCCCCAGCCACAATATCTGGAGAGCGGGTGACTGAGAACCCCGTGAGGCCCACAGGGTGTCCCAAAACAGTGTGCTCCACCACGACTCTGTGCTACCCCAGGGAAGCCCTCTCCCTTCCTTAGGTACACCGTCCTTACCACTGAAGAGCCAGACATGTGACCTGAAGTGTAAGTAGACATTCCATCTGCTCGTTTCTACACGAGTGCCGAGCAGTCACGCACACCTCACCAACCCTGTGACAACTTGCTGCTTTGCCAGAYTATTCTTTCACTACAGCCACCTGTGAGATCTTTAATAAAAGTGCCAGCTACCATCAACTACAGGTAGACCACAGCCACAGAAGGTGTCTGGGGAACCGTCCGAGTCTTCAGTGATTCTTTCTTTCAATGGAGAAAAAAGCAACCTGTCTTAATTGGTTGAAGATGCATAAAAAAAAGCAGTATCTCACCTTCTGGTATTTCTGCCACCATTTACATGAATACTGGTCTTCCCATGAGACAGGTTTTGAAGGAAATATCTGGCACTTATTGAGGGATTCTAACTGAACTGCAGACATGGTTGAAGGCAACACACATTCAGGTAGAATTTGCACTTTAGCTTGCTGGATTCTAAAATAAAGAGAACCAAGCACGGTGTTCATTTTCAAGATAGACTAACTCAAACTGTAAGTTTCTAAACATCAAGGAAATTTTAAATACTAACATTTTCTAAATGTTTTTTAAAACATATTCACTAAATAAATGCTGATGTTAAGATATAAGACATTTTCAGAAAATAACTTCATTTCATAAATCATRGAACAGTTCATGCTACAGATAATCTAAAGTATGAATTTTCAATCTCACCATGGAATAGAAAGGAATGTCTTCCTGAGTCACATAAATAGAGTTATATTTGACATCAGCCTACTCCTACCACCACTGCTCCTCTTGATACTTGTAACCAAACTTCTTAGACAGTTTAGACATCCCAACCCTCCCATGTCCCCCACAACCCGTGCCGCCTAAGTGGGGCCTTTCTCATGAGTCATCCTGAGAGGCAGGTTCAGAAAGAGACGATCACAAACCATTTACAAGGACGCTTCAGCTGAGACTAGAGAACTACATGGACGTACATGCAGCCCTCTTCTCCTCCTCATGACCTTAGGGGAACATGCACTCGACTGCCTTTAAACTGAAGAATCACCGAGGCTTTCTTGATAGAGCCTTCATTTTCTAAATGCTACTCCAGAGCATCAGACTTTCAAACACCTGTCAGCCATTAATGCAAAGGGAGAGGCTGCCCCTGTGATGGACCCTCCTGGGAAGCAGCTTTAGAAATGAGGTCTATGCTACAACAGACATGCAAAGGTTGGAAGAAAACACTTTGGAATGATGAAATCAGACACACTGGAAGCCCCTGCTTCTAAGACTCTCATATGAACTATGGCGTTCATAACATCCACTGCCTTCACCCACAAAACGCTGAGAATAAAATTCTGATACTTCTCATTTATTATGAAAATAGCTGTTATCTCAAAATATACAGGTTTTACTTAAAAATATACTCATGGTACTAACTTCATGTCCTACTTAGTTAGTATGCTCATTAAAATACAACTTTAATCTGTTAAAAACTTTGGAAAATGTTAAAAGTGACCATTTTTAATTCCAGAACTAAGGTTCAACTGAACCCAGTCAGTGGGTTGGATCCTCAGTACCAGTGCTGGGAGGAGGGGAGGGACACAAGCAACATCTCAACTTTAGTGTGTCTATATCGTGCATGTGTGTGTGTGTGTGTGTGCGCGCTGTGTGGGGACTGGACACAGGGAGCCTGACCACGGAGCCACATCCCCAGCCCTTTTCATATTTCACTTAGAGACAGGGTCTTCTGAGTTGCTTAGCACCTCACTTTTGCTGAGGCTGGCTTTGAACTCACAATTCTCCTTCCTCATCCTCCAGAGCTGCTGGGATTACAGACGTGTGCCACCACACCCAGGCCTTTTGATTTTTGAGACGGGGTGTCCCTAACATACAAAGGCTGGCCTGAAACTTACTACCTCCTGCCTCAGCCTCYTGAGTTGCTGGGGTGATGCGCCATGGTGTAAATTGTACACCATCCTATAGACGCTCATCAGAATCTGCTTCTTAAGGTCAAAAGTACCTGAATTGAGGTACTTCATGCAAATATTATGAAAGACTTCATGCTTTCATCCTGATAAAAGCGTTCAGGCTGTGGAAGTAGCTCCAATCACCTCGGAACCCCTGGTCTGCACTGGGAGACTCAGCGCGGCGTAGACCCTCCTTGCTCTGCAGGCTGGAGGCTGCTCTACAGAACACAGGCTGGTTCTCCCGCCAGCTGAGTTGCATTTTTTAGCATAAGGTAGTTGTGTTTCTTCCCARCCTGTCGATGGCAGTTGTTCTGTGGTATGGCAACATAATTTATATAAATGTTATAAAAACAAAATGTGTAAACAAAAATAAAATCACCTCCATGAATACTAAGACATAAAAAAAAAAAAATTTCTTCCAAATTCAGTAAAGACAACTCTAATAGTAGGGAAACACCGCACTAACCTGAACATTTTCTGTGCTCAAATGACCTCGTGACTGACCACCCTTAGAATCCCTCTTAAAAAACAGAAATATAAACTATAAAAACCAGAAGTATACGCTATACACACAAACCACAAAAATGTCTGAAGCCATCTCTAGTTGGCAAACCCACTTCAAAGAGAAAACCATCTCTCCATCAAAACCAAAACGACTGCCTTCCTACATTTTCAATGAAAACATTTATAGTAGGTGACTTTTTCCACTAAGAATCACTGCTCTCAATTATGACAGGGAGGACGTATTCTCTTGTAATTTCAACACAATATTAATCCCATTCCAAGAAACAGGGAGTTCTGATTCGTGATACCCTTCTGTGTGTTTGTTTATTGATTAAAGACAAAGGTCCATATATTCAGAAAAGGCCAACCAAATAAACACTGAATTTAGCGACAGTTAGAAAGCRGTAGCATATTTTTATATATGAAGCATCATTTAGGTAAAAAACAAATCAATCAGATATACTTCCCTGTAAAAAAGAAAACTGGCCTGAGTTTCCAATGTGCTATGGAGAAATTCTGGTGTTAYAGAAAAGGCACTGGTGTGGAAGTTGGGGACCTAGAACCAGCCAGCTGACACACACTACTTGTAAGGCTTTAGGCACATTGCTGAACTTCTCTAACACTTGGCTCCCTAGTTTGAAAAAAAGGAAACAGCACTACATCATCTCCAATGCAAGCACTTCACCGTTTTTAGTGAAGGTGGTCACAGGAAAGCACAGTAGCAAAACCACAGAAACCTCACTCCACACACGCCGGTTACACTTTGGCAGACACATCTGTGTGAGAAGGCTTGACACAGGTCTGTGGAAGCACCCCAAGGGCGTGGAGGCACCCTTTCCAAACCTTTTCCAGCCCTACCACTCTGATGGTCACACAGAACCAAATCACATTCTTCCACCCCTTCTCAGCCTCAGCAGACTGCTGCCATCTTGTGTTCAAAAGACTTTTCCACAACCAGATATGGAAGTCACTATGCTGAGAAATGCACTTTCTCCCAACTCAATTTCCCTGAAACTTTCTGGAAAATAGTATTCAAAGATTAAAAAAAAAAGAACCAATTAGGTAAGTATGTGGCTAATAGGTACTTCAAAACTGGCACTRTTAGCAAAATCTACAGCAACAAGATAACTGGTTACCACAGTGCAAAGCCCTGGGGAGATCACTCCTTCACRTCACATTTCTGGTCCCCAATACAACATAACTAAGCCTCGGTCACCATTCTCATGCAGCTCATCTACCCGGGAGGCACACACGMGATCCTGTGAGGGCGGGACGAGGTGAGCACATGTGTACCAGGAACGTTGAGGGAACTTCAGGAGAGAACCAAACCCCTCAGGACTCTGACCACTCCATCCCATATCTGAGTCCCAAAAGCCTGCCTGATGCATCTGCAGTGGCATAATCTTGAGCAAACAAACAGACAAAACCATAACACCTTCCTGCATTCAGAAGAAGACACGTGCAACACAAAGATCTGATGGATTTTCAACTCTGGCCACCATCACAGATGGATTCCCCAGGACAGGGTGGAACTGAGGAATCTGTGTGTACGAATCTTCCCAGATGACTCCTATGTGCCACAGGACAGAAGCACTGCTCMACACACAAAAGCCAACGCAAGACTACTGTGTTGTTTTAAATGGTTCGCTATTTCTTAAAAAGAGGATGATGATGGTGAACTGGATCTTTTTTTCCTTAAATGTGGAATTCCTAGATTTTGTGACAAACTCTTACCTAGGCAGCCACTCCAAAATGAGTCTCTGCTGAATGGGTATAAACTCAGGGAATACTAAAGTTCACAAGGTGCAGTGAAGATAAGGACTAGTGGTCAGTTATCATGTGGGTATTGTTTCTGGGTGATAAATTCCCATGGGTGTTACRTGTGGATGGGGAGAGCCGCTGGGTGGAGCAGGTATGACGTATGACTTTCAAACCTAACGGGAGCTCTGACACCACCTCCCCCGTCCTGGTGAGCACACTGAGACACCGTCTCTCACTCCGAAGAGAGACCTTCTGTTCCCAAGAAGCCACACCCCAAATGCCACTTTCCTTTGAGTTGACAATGCTCTTCTCAAACCTGGAGGGGTATGAGAATCACCCGGAAATCATTCTTAAAAGGTGCTGAAGTCTCACTTCATCCTAACAACTCTCTGAGGATGGAAGATGAGGTTGGAACCAAGCATCTTCAGCTTTTAGAATTTTCTGGGTGATTCTGGTGGGCCCCAAGTGGGAAACAACTGGGATATACTTGAGAAGGAAGAGAGAAACACTAATAAAAAGGCATAAAATGTGAAGAGTTAGAAAAACAGAAAAAAACCACTCCATTGTAAAATGTTCACAAAGCTTTCAGACACGGTATTTCTTACCCATCTGACTGTGTTCTGAGTTCCAGGACTTTGAACCTTTGTCTTCCAATTGCTTTCACTTTCACTATTTCAATTCCAAAGTCTTGTTCTTCTCGATAGGCATATATCTCTGCTGTCGTTCCAAACTGTGCTTCCCTTTCCTGTATATTACTTCCAAGGAAAAGTTTTAAAGAAGATTTTTAACATTTGGCATTTATATATGCAAAGTTAGCAAAAGTAATTCATTTGGGAAAATGATTTATAGTCATTGACTCTCACTTGCAAACCCAGTACAACTTTATTTTTAAAATCACATGGTGGAGGGTACTGGGGTTGTAGCTCAGTGGTAGAGTGCTTGCCTACCACCCAGGCACTAGGAGTGATCCTCAGCACCACATAAAAATAAATGAATAAAATACAAGATATAGTGTGCACTTACAACTAAAAAACAATTTAAAGAGTCATATGGGGGAGCATAGGAAAGCTTTGGGATAGACAATTAGAACATTTAGGAGAAAGTCACTGAAACAGTCAGGGACTCACACACCTCTGAACTCTCAGTTCCCAGCCAAACATTCTTTCACTYTGTTAGACCTTCAAGGAAGGTATTCTGCTGCTTATTAGCAGCACTGGGGCAGGGGCAGAGGTTGGGGGACGGGACTCCTGCATTTATTCCCAGCCTCTAGGGCACATTTCCTCCACCTGCCACAGGGAACAAGAGTTCAGCTCAGTGGGCCGCTGCTCTGTACTGGTGCAACTTAACAAGTTTTGGGAGAGTAAAAGGAGGGAAAAAAAACCAAAACGCTCTTTTGGAAAACTGATCCTGTACACCAAAATGGAAAAACCCTGTTTCTCTTTAAATAAAGACAATTCTTGAAACTAACACTCTAGAAATGTTTTCCAGTAAATATTAATGAGCAAAAGTTTTTCAAGCATCAAAAATGTAAACTGGTTTAGATGGTAAATAACCAATATACTCTAATATTTCAAATCTCACTCAACAAAATTCCTTACTTCTCCTGGACGTGCAAAATAATTCTCTACTTTGCCTTCAACACTGACCTTGGCTGCAAGTACACAAAAGGGCACGAGTGAGGCCAGTTCCCCTAATACTTTACCTGTATGCAAGAACTGCAAAGGTTCTATCTTTCTGAATTAAATTCCGCACCATACTGACTTCTTGAGGGCGAAACAGCTGTAGAGGTAAAGTCTGCCCGGGAATCAGGATCATCATCACCTGTGGGAGCACCGGGATCACCTGACAACTGTCGTCATCATGCAAAGTCCTGCCATGGAACTCCTCCATGTCAGCGCCCAGGTACTGCTCACAACGACAAGAAGGCAAGTGTTACCACACACACACACTCTAAACACAAGCTCAACAGGCTAAAGAAAAGTTGAGTAAACGAGATATAAACAGAGGGGAAACATAACTATTTATGTGATGATCTTAATGGTCTCACATAAAAACCTAATTTTTAATCTATATTTACTGTTAAAACTTTCAAATCTTTTATCAAGAATCTCTCATACGTACATATTCCACAACATTTTGCAGTTTGAGCTGTTTTTCACAGGATCAAAAATAAATTTGGACATCTCTATGTCCAAATACCCCAAATGACAAGTATAAATGTTACTATGTTAAATAGCACCTTCATGCCACAGGACCTAGCAGACCACAGAACAAGCCCTTAATGGCTCTATTACTAACAAAACTGGAAAAAAGGCAACAACCTCTTAAAGGATTACACCAGTAAACAGTAGGAGCTGCTTACAAATAAAGAATTTATATTTACTGTTGGAAAATAGCCTGCCTCCTCGCAGAATCTCACCATATGATGAAGCTGCTAACAAAAGTCAAAGTCATGGGGCTGGGGTTGTGGCTCGGTAGTAGAACACTSGCCTAGCACATGAGAGGCRCTGATCTCAGCACCACATAAACATAAATAAATAAAATAAAGGTATTGAGTCCAACTACAACTAAAAAAAAYATTTTTTTTAAAAAAGGTSAAGGTTACATATTTATGCCGTGTAAACTAGCCGTCCACATTGGGCAGTGTGAGGTGCCAGGCCACCTCTTCAGGAATGTGTCCTAGGGATGGATGTGCACCGACAGTGCCAGAGGAGTTACTGTACTACAYACCGTGTGTGAGGTTGGCAGACTCGTGTCAAAATTTATGATGTTTGGTTTTTTTGCTTCTTTGCTGTCCTGGTCTTCAACTTCCATTTCAATTTCATCTTCTTCTTCACTCTCTGCTGTATAAATACAATATGATAAGAAAAAAACATTAGACCCATGAAAATTCAAATGTATACCTTTCAAATACATCACACCCTGGGGAGAAAAGGGTACTAGACGCCATACGCACCGATAACCACCACTAACTGTGAGGAGGCAGCCGGGGGCCCAGGGGCCACACCGCACTCTGCCACCAAGTATCTTCTGTTGTTGTTGCTGTTTTCTTTTTAAATCAACTTTTATTTATTTATTTTTAATATGTTTTAGTTGTTGATGGACTTTTATTTTTATTTATTTGTGCTGAGAATCGAACCCAGTGCCTCAAGCATGCTAGGCGAGTGCGCTACCTCTGAGCCACCACCCCAGCCCCTTAAATCAACTTTTAAATTTTACAATAGTTTAAGAGTTAGAGAAATAGTAGAAAATATTCCCATAAACCCCACTTCTATTTTCCTCTATAGTTAACATCTTATGTTACAGTACACCTACGTCACAACTAAGAAACCAATGTTGGTACATTAGTGCAACTAAGTAAACTCTACATTTTATTGGGATATCCTGGTTTTAACCTCAAATCCTTTTTTAGTTGCACATTTCCCTCCAGAATACCACACTGCTATGGTCATGACTCCTCTTCAGCCTGCTCTTGGGAGGTGGGGGTAGTTTCTCAGACTTGACTTGGCTTATTCTGTACATTATTGCTCAATTAGGACTCATATGATGTAATTCTAGTAATCAGCCTAAGGTTACCCACTGTGGGGAGGACGAGGAGGATGGAAACGAAGTACTATTTTCCATCACATCAGGGATGCACACTACAYACCTGACTGACAGCCCTCATGCTAGCTTTCGTCATCACCTGCAGTACAATCTGTCAGCCCTCTCCACTGTAGAGTCGCTTTCCCCTCCTTTCACAAGGTACCCCGAAAGCAAATCACTCCATCCACCCTTTAGGGGTGAAGTACTATGGTCCAGGGCCTTGTTGGGAAATACCAACATAAAGTACTTTAAAATGTCCTGTAGAGAATGTTTTCTCCCTTGCCAGTAATTCATTTTGACACTGTATACACTGCACCCTCCCTCGGTAAGTCTCAGCTTCCTCGTCTGAAAAGGACAGGCTCCAAGAAGACCACCTTGGAGAACACTGTTTCAAACTCCTAACTCTAAAGAGTTCCTATGTGACAAGTTGAAGAAGAAGAAGAAGAAAGAAGAAAGAAGAAGAAGAAGGCGATGAGAAAGATAAAGATCTATTATCTAAAACTGAAAAGAGATGTCATCAAAACCTGCCAGAAGAATTCCACAGCGTTGTCCCACTAACACACTCCCTTCCCTGGCTCTCAYTCACTCATAAAAGTCAGATATTTGCAGTCACTATCATACAAATTTTGCTTTGTAATTTAAAAGTTTAAAAAATACCACAAGCAGCATAAAACATTTTAAAGGAAAYGACGCAGACTGCTTCCTCCAGGCATACTTTTTAAATTATGAAAACTAAGCCAATATCCTTTAAAAGTGGATGCTACCATTGACAGGGATGAAAGTCAGAAAAAGCAACACTACCCTAGGTGTATGGTATGATAGGAAGGCAGACGAAAGCCTTTCCATGTCACCTGTGGGCACACTTCCTATCCTAGGAGTCTTGACCAGGATTTACTTTGCACCTTAGGGAATATTTGGAAACATCTGAAGACACCTTGGGTTGTCACAACTAGAAGAGTCCTACTGGTGACCTAGAGTAGGTGCTTGGGGAATCCTACCAAGCAGAGCACACCACAAAGAATTGCTGGACCTGAAAGGTGTCAGAGACTAGGAAATGTGAGCTTGGACTGCGTATAAACATGGACTGAACCTCATTTCTGACCTCACAATTCAGGCATTTTAAAATGCCCCCAAGAAAATTCTAAATACTTAATTTGTCATTTCAAAGGAGTCATTTCTTCCCCTCTGTGCAAAACATTCTTTAAACAAACTACTTCCACTGAGGTCCCTCTCACAAGACGTTTCACAATAGGGTAACTGTGGGGGTGGGAGGAGTTCCCATTTATCCTCATGAATTAAAAGATTTAAGGCCTTCAAGTTCTGTCAATGACAACAACATAATTGATTTKACTTGTATGAAAACAGTCAGGGCTCTGATACCGGTTGTACCTTTTCTAAGAACACAAAAGTTTTCCCGAGAGATAATAAAGAAAAATTTAAACTGATCAGAAAAATATTCTGAACCTAATTCTCTGTATCTGCAACTCTAAAAGCATGGGTTTCACTTGTCATGTGGAGAGACCGACTTTCTTACTCTACTGAAAGTTTAAAACATGAACTACTGGCTCAAAGGYTGGAATAAATACTTCTCTAAATTTGCATTTTAAGTCTTCTGACTTCTGGCATCTAAATGACCACCTAGTATTAGAGAAGCTTTTCTTGTAAAAGTGGCTAAGGCCCACCTCCCCCACTGGGCTGTTTATCAATGGATCTTTTCTCTCCAAGATAGCTGAATAATTTCAGATGGGAAGAAACTATTTCCTTAGCATTCAAAGTGGACTTACTCTTCAAAACAACTCGTATCTCAAGATTTAGGGAMATGTGGTATTTGTCAACAAATAAAACCGCAGGTAATTTAGAAACCAGCATTACTGTCTCTCTATATATATACATACATCTCTGCACCCTCTCACTTTTCCTTTCCCCCCTTAGAAAACACAGGCTGGCTGTTGAGAGCTACCCGGGTGAGGTCTGATGACTCATCTCAGGCAGGAGCACCATGTGAATGCCAACAGAACATCAATATCCTCCCTCTTTTATTCCCTATTCTCCCTGAAACTCTGGATTTGGCACACACACACAGGGGGCTCTGATGATGSCGGGAAAACAGCTCAGCTCTGCTGCTGCAGGTTGACACACCTTTTTTTGAGCTATGATGGCTTCAGGAACGACCACTGACCCACCATGGTTTGTTTCACAGAAAAAGGGCTTCCTATATGGAGAGACCAATCAATACTGAGCACAGATTCCCTTAGTTAACTACCTAAAAAAAAAAAAAAAAAACCCTGAGACTGCTTTTCAGCAACCTACAAGAAAAGCCCTTGGCCAGAGATGCACATTCACCAACAATTTAGAACCAACTGACCTCCTAAGTCTTACCTTGTGCATCCTTAGCCCCAGCGGGTGAGCCTCCAGATCAACCTCAWAAGGCTTTTCCCCAATTCCTCTAACCCCCGAGCCATTGCCCCAGGTGAAGAACCACAATGGCATTCGTTTAACTGGCCTTGAATCAACGGACTCTGCCAATCATCATTCTCACCACGCTCACCTGGACTGCAAAGCTCCTCAAGTACCAGACCTCATTTGGCTCCTCCACAACACCTGACGCCCCGCCTGTTTACAGTGAAGGGACTCAGGGGTTTGCGGGAGGCTGACACCACTATGGCAAAGCCCATCCCGACTGCAGCCGTTTGTGAATAGTTTGTGCAACGATGCAGTTTTSTTTTCTTTCTTTTTCTTTCTGAAGTCGTCGTGCAATACTCCAACACACAAACCCGAGGTCTAAATTTCCACAAAGCACACCGTTAGGACCAGAGGCAAGGGAACCCCACCGCCCCACGGACCTCCAACCGGTGGCTAAGAGACACCAGCTGTGCTCGCAGGCCAAGCCGCGTTCTGGTCCCGACGCGGCAGCTGGGTGACCTTGGGCGAGTCACTCAACTCCTCGGTTCCTACAGAGAGGGACCCGARTGGTGACAAGTGCAGAAAAACGCAGCCAAGCCCGGTAGGAGCGCAGCACGCCTCGGCTGTCACTCATTCGGGGACACGCGCCGAGGGGAAAGTCCCCGCAGCTGCCCCGCCCGGACCCCGGAGGCCCCCCGAATACGGGGCCCTTCGGCGAAGCCGAGCTGGGGCGTGGGGACGGCCGGGGCGCGCGCGGTCCCCGTCCCCGCTGCAGCCGCATCCGCAACCGCGGCGTCCGCGCCCTCAGGGAAGCGCCGGCCGAGGCCCGCGGCTCGCAGCCCCCGGGGCGCGGCCACCGCCTTTCCCGGCCCCGTCGAGCCGCCGGCGACTCCGGGCGTCGCCTCCCACCCGCGGCTGTGCCCCGGGCCCGGGAGTTACCAGGCAGGAGCGGCAGGTGGTTGCCCATGTTGTGCGCAGCGTCCTGTGCGTCTTCCTCGTCGGCCATGTCTGTTTACCCGCAAAGCAGGACGGGACGGGGCGGAGCCTCCGGGGGAGGTTCCGCGCCGCCGCCGCCGCCGCCGCCGCCGCCGCGCGCCGGGGCCACAGCGCCCTCTAGCGGCGCCAGCGGGAAGGGCCGCGAAGCAGGCCCGCAGTCGGGGCGGGAAAGCTGCTCCCAGCGCTGCAGGACCAGCTGCCCTCCTCCTTGCACAGTCCCGGGGCAATGTCCAGCCCTGTCCCGACGTGCACGTGGGGAAACCGAGGCTCGGTGTCCAGTCTCCACCCGATTCTTAAAGGAAAGGAGGGGATGGGCAAAGAGCAAACACAAACCCGTTTATACACCATGAACTTCAACTCCTGAGAAATAAGGAAAGGAAGACAGGAACACGTGCATGGGTTATGGGGAGAACCGGATTGTCCCTGATTTTGCCTTCCACCCGTTCAGGGGTTCATTGAAACAGACATTTTACATGATGCTTTTGCAGAACCGAAAAAGGCTGGGTTGGTACATAAAATTGTCAAAAYAAACTGGGAATGGAACCACCATTGGACCCAGCCGTCCCTCTCCTCCTTTTACACCCCAAAGACTTAAAATCAGCACACTACCAGGACACAGCCACATCCATGTTCATAGCAGCACAATTCACAGTAGCTAAACTGTGGAGCCAACCTAGATGCCCTTCAGTAGATGAGTGGATAGGGAAACTGTGGCATATCTACACAATGAAATTTTACTGAGCAATAAAAGAAAATCAAATCATGGCATTTGCAGGTAAATGAACGGAGTTAGAGAAGATAATGCTAAGTGGAGTTAGCCAATCCCAAATAACCAAATGCTGAATGTTTTCTCTGCTATAAGGAGGCTGATTCATAGTGGGATAGGGAGAGGGAGCCTGGGAGGAATAGACGAACTCTAGAAAGGACAGAGGGGTGGGAGGGGAAGGGAGGGGACATGGGGTTAGAAATGATGGTGGAACATGTTGGTCATTATTATCCAAAGTATATGTATGGAGACATGAATTGGTGTGAATACACTTTGTATACAACCAGAGACATGAAAAATTGTGCCATGATTTTCTTTTCTTTCATTGCTAAGTAATATTCCATTGTGTATATATGCCACATTTTTTTATCCATTCATCTACTGAAGGGCATTTAGGTTGGCTCCACAGTTTAGCTATTGTGAATTATGCTGCTATAAACATGGATGTGGCTGTGTCCCTGTAGTGTGCTGATTTTAAGTCCTTTGAGTATAGAAAGAGGCGAGGAATAGAAGAGAAATATACAACCAATCAACAAATATATGAAAAAATGCTCATCATCTCTAGCAATCAGAGAAATGCAAATCAAAACCACTCTAAGATATCGTCTCACTCCAGTCATAATAACTCCAGCTATTATGAAGACAAACAATGAGTGTTGGCGAGGATGTGGGGGAAAAGGCACACTCATGCATTGCTGGTGGGACTGCCAATTGGTGCAGCCAATCTGGAAAGCAGTGTGGAGATTCCTTGGAAACACATACATATTTAATATCTTAAAGAATGCTATTGCCCGGGTGTAAGCACTTGATTGTCTGTTGCTTGGGTCACTGCAGTAGCCTCAATACTGACTTCTCACTTCTATCCGTTGTCCTCTAGTTCACTGCCAACAGGTCCCAGTGATTCCCTAAAACCTCAGATCCGGCCACGTGACTCACCTGCTCAGTACTTTCCCTGTGGCCCTGTTTCACGGTGAGCTGCACCCTCACAGCGGCCTTTGTGATGCACAGAGCTGCAGCTTGTATCTAGATGTTCCCCAGAGCCTCATGGGTCGTCCCCAGCTGGTGACGCGATTGGGAGGTGRTGACACTTTAGGAGGTGAGGCCTCTCTGGGGGAAATACTTCCCTGGGGGTAGGTCTCTCGGGTTCATTGCCCAAGCCCTCTTGCTCTCCTTTCCTCCAGGAAGGGGACAGCTTTGCTTCGTCACACTCTTCCCTACCCCGAGGTTTCTTTCTTGCCACAGGCTGAAAACCAATAGAGCCACCTGACCATGGACGGAAACCTCCCAAACCAGGAGCCAAAATAACTCCTTCCGCCTTAAATTGATTTACCCACGGTATTTCTGTCACCATGACAGAAAGCTGACCTACGCATATCCTGCTCTGACCTCCCTCCACTTGTGCCCTGCGCGTCCCCGCCGGCTCCACACCGGCTTTCATGTGGCCCAACCACCACGTAGGGCCCACTCCCACCCCAGGGCCTTTGCACCTGCCTTTCCTTTTGCCTGGTGTGTCCTTCCTCCACATCAACCCACGACTTCCTCCCTGGTACCTTCCCCCYCTTCCATCAAATGCCCATCATCCAGTGGTGACCCTTTCGCCCGTCCGTTGGTTGCCATCCTCATTCTCGGATCCATATTTTCCTTCAAAGCATTTGGGCACTTCTGACATATTACGAGGCTGATATAACGGTGTCATCCGCATCCCCTCCAGAATATAAGGTCGTGACAAGGGGCAGAGATGTCTGCTCCTGGGGACAGGTTCTGGCATTTGGTAGGTAAACAAAAGAAGGTTGACTGAATGAATGAATCAGCYGTAAATGCTCAAAGCCCAGGAATGCTGCCCCACGCCCCTTACCCACGGTCCCTTGCAGCAAACGAGGTCCTGTGAGCCACTTCTGCCTGGTGACATGGACAGGACGTTGGCTTGGTAGCCTTCGAGAAGGGCCAGGAGGAGAGGCGAGTTCAGGAGAAGATTTTCCTTCAGGACCAAAGGCCGACAAGTTTCTTTCTTACCCACTTCCATCTGGGGCGGAGATGAGGATCTAGTCAAGTTTGATGGAGAAAACCAGGCAACCCACTCCAAGTAGCCCAAAGAGCTTCTCCAAGAAATCATGCGTTTTTACAAACAGCAAAACCAGATTGAATAGGGCAGGCTTGTTCTGACATGACTTCTTGAATGGATCAATTCGCTGATGAATTCATGGTCAGTTCATAAATCTCCCAATTATTTCCTCTTTGGGGCCAGAGCATGTACAGTGGGTTGAGGTCCAGCATCCTAAGAGAGCTTGCACTACCCTCCACGACTCTGTGAGACAGAAGTCAAAAACTGGTGACCGTGGGTGGGAATGTAAACTATGATAGTCATCGTGGAAATGAAGATGGAGGTTCCTCAAAAATCTAAAACTAGAACTACCAGATGTGATCCAGCTATGCCACACCTGGGTGCCTACCTGAAGGAATCATAGCCATTTGTACAATACAGATGGCTGGACACCATATACCATACAGATACAACCCTCTGTGTCACGGGACACTCATAATAGTCAACTAATGGACTCAATCTAGGTGCCCATCAATACATGAGTGCAAAAAAAATGTGGTATATGTACACCGGAGTATTATTCAGCTATAAAAAAAGAATGGAATGAGCCAGGCACGGTGGTTATAGCTGCCTGTCATCCCAGCGGCTCAGGAGGCTAAGGCAGGAGGATTGCAAGTTTGAGAGCAGCCTCAGCAACTTAGCGAGACTCTAAGCAACATAGTGAGACTCTAAGCAACGTAGTGAGACACTGTTTCAAAATAAAATATAAAAAGGGCTGGGGATGTAGCTCAGTGGTTAGATGCCCCTGGGTTCAATTTCTGGTACCAAAAAAAAAAAAAAGAAAAGAAAGAAATCATGTTATTTGCAGGAAAATGGATGGAATTCAAGATCATCACGTTAAGCGAAATAAACCAGATTCAGAAAGACAGGATCACATGTTTTGTCTCACATTTGTCGTATTTTGAATTTTCGAACTAAATGCTCGCCAACGTTGAGAAATGGAAGAGAGTGCAATACCAAAATTGGTTTTCTGCTTCTCTTTAAAAAAAAAAAAAACAGGATGAGTTGACAATCACATGTTGAATTCAGGCTCGAGAACAGTTGTCTTCAGCGGCTGATTAGACAGGGCATTTAGATGAAGAGTCCCTAATGGGCAAAGACCCCTCCCAGCCCGGAGTCACTTGGCATTTGTGTTYACCACTTGTTCTGTGAGTGTGGACAGTGAGCCCGTGCCCTGATTTGCCCAGGACACCCCAGCTAGCAGYGTGATTATTACAGAGCACCCCTCTCAAATTCACTGTGCTCCATTTGAATTATATGACCCTCCTACACACAGAGCCATAGAGGACCCTGGAACACAGTGTCTGGCCATGTGGCCCTAGACAGCCACATGGACTTTCAGCCTCCCTGGGCAGTGAAGGGTCATAGCTGGAGATCTCTAAGTCCCCTGTAGCTCTGGGATTCCTTCCTAGCCATGTTTTACGAAGTTTCTTATGGGTGATCCCATTGTGCGGCGACTAACATAAAAACGATCTTTAGAATTAATTCATGGTTATTCTAATGTTCCTGGCTCCAGAAGCCCGTCTCCCAAACTAGTCCCAGGAGAGAAATCTTTTTTACATTTTTACAGCGACCTATATATCAAGAAAAAGAGCAGCTCACCCAGTACCGTATCTTTCCTGAGCCTACCTGTTGCCATAGATCGTGGGTTTGGGCCCCGTTGCTAAGAGATGTGTACTTCAGCATCTCCTCTTAGAAATCCCAGCTCTGAGGGGCGGAAGATGACTCTTGTCTGCTTCTGAAAGACCTAAAGGGGAGAGGAGAGAGAGAGAGAGAGAGAGAGAGAGAGAGAGAGAGAGAGAGAGAGAGAGAAACTGCTCTCTGTGGGCAGACATTAAACCAGGGGTTTTCATAGCCCCTTCAAAATGTTGACACTTTCATTAATGACTCATTCCTATTTCAGTAATATGGGGGGAAATCTGGGATTTGAAAAGAACATCTTTATTTGCAACGTTCTCTGCAATGATCCCCCAGAGCCTCTATGAGTCCCAAGCGGGTTAGACTCTCATGAAAAGTGATCATTGGCGATGATGTCTAACGTTGCAATTTAGGGTGATCTCCCGCCACTACCTCTGTCTCTGATTTGACAGGTAAAGTGGGGAAGAGGTTTGCAACATAGTTAAATGTTGGGCGATTTCTGGTCTTTAACCGCGTGCA